TGCCAGCCTTAGAATCCTCCCTGAGGGAGGATTGTATCAACAGTGAAAAGGACAAAGTCCTGACCTTGAAAGGATAGATACAAACACATAAACAGCAAAAGCAGTTCAACGGGATAGTGCTACAGGAAGGGGAACAACATGGTATAGTGTGCCATACGACTACACAGAAGACATACCTCACTCAGACAGACGCTGGGATCATGGAAGGCTTTTTGGAGAAATTGAAACCTCAGTGGTGTGAGTAGGAGTTAGTCAGGTGAAGGGTGGGTAGAGCAAGAATGTTCCACTTATGCACAACATGTGAAAAGACAGGCAAGAAGAAGATTGTTACATTTGTGAAACAATAGGGAGCATCCTTCTGAGGATAGTGTCATACCCACTTCAGATAAAGTACAGGCTATGCCTGGTACATAGTAGGTTAGAAGTGCTTGGGGGACAGACTGGAGGGCTAATGCTGCCTGGAGGAGTCAGTGAAAGATTTACTAACATATTCACAGTTTCCCAACTGGCTAGACCTGGAATCCAGGTTTACTCTTTGTTCTTTCTGTTACTTCAAACTGTCTCATGAATGTCTGTAATGCTGGGTGGGTCCCAACAGTATTACATTGAAATTGCAGAGAGATCATGTAGCATTAGAAGAGGACTAAGGATTGAATCTAAAGACTGCCTTCATTTAAGGAGTAGGAGGAAGAGGAAGAAAAGTGGTAATTGAAGAAGTACAGAAAGAGTCATTCAAGTGGGAAACTACTCAGAGAGCACATTAGGATGGAAGCCAAAGAAAGAGTTGGAAGAAGAATGGTATAGTATTCCAAATACGGAGAAAGTTGAAGAGTTTGTGACCCAGGGTACTGGGTTGGCTAATGATCATCTCATTTAGTTAATGAGAAAGTGATTTCCAGGGAGGATCACAACATGTGGGAAAATAAGTGCGTAAGGAAGTAGAGTGCAGATCCCTTTTTCAGAAATACTAATTAGAATTAAGGGAAGCCAACTCTGAGATGGAGGCAGTAGGTTTATTAGGAAGTGATCTTGGGATCAACATTCAGGGGAAGGACCGAAGCAAGTCTGCACAGAAGTTGGGATATGAGGCAGGACAAAGTCTCAGCCAACCTTCAGAGCTGTGCCTGGTTCAGGTGAGAGGGAAGACTTCATACTCCCACACAGCTCAGTCATTTGATGTGGGGTGCCTGAGAAAGAGGTGTGATGTGACAGCTGAGGGCCATCTGCCAGCAGCATTCCCACTCCAAATAGCTGGGGTATTAATTCCTTCATTCTCAAAGAGGGTCCTGTCTGTGCACTTAAGCGTCTGTCACAGGAATAGTTTGCAAGGCTATTACAAGCACAGTCAAGGGAGAAGGATTTTTAGGATAGATTAAGACTCAACTTTGGAAATAGATACAGAAATATAAACAGACATATCTTAATTATTATTCTTTATTTCCTGAGAGCTATAACATATTTAAAAATGGGATAATCCATTTATGGAACATCTATGTATCTGGGCTTTGTTAGCACCAGTTGTACAGAAATAAGATGATCTCCTATGGAGAAGCTCACAACTTGGAAGAAAGCATAAAAAACACTAACCCTGGAAGGCGCTGTGCTAATCTTATTTGTGGGTTTATCTCTACCACCCAGGCTATGCCTGGTACATAGTAGGTTCTCAATAAATATATACAGCGTGACTTAGCACCTGAGCAGGTAAGAAGTGCTTGGGTGACAGACTGTAGGGCTAACGCTGCCTGGAGGAGTCAGTGAATGCATCACAAGGGATACTTTAAGGGAAACTGAAATAATATTAATAATAACAATGAGGAGTTTTCCACGTAGGGAATGGGAGAGGTGGGAGGAGTTAATTCTAGGCAGATTGTTTCAGGGAAAACAAAAGCATGAAAAACAAGACTTGGAGAGGGTGGAAAGTAAGCACCAAAGAAAAGTCTCCTATTTAAAGGCATATACGATGCAGACACATAGTAACAAATGATATGGCCATTGTGGTAATGTAGAATGTTCAGTGAATTTACATTAATAGGATTTTATGAAAGAGATTAATTTTGAACTAGATTTGAGTGGAAGGGAATTGATTTAGGTGTACAAGATGGAGGTGGTATGGTATGGTAGCTGAGTGCTAGTTCTCGGTTCTAACAGATTTATGTTCAAAGCCTGGCTCCACCATTAACTAGCTATGTGACCTTAGGCAAATTACTTAGGTTGTTAATTTGCAAAATGAAGATTAAAGTTCCTGTTTCACAAATTTGTTCTGAGGATTAATTCATGTTTGTGACATGTTGAATATGGTGTTTGATACATTATAAGAATTCAATTAGCGTGTCAGTTACTATAAGTGAAAATATGGAACCTAGAAGGGCGTTGGGGGTATATGTTGGGAGAAACTGAGTAAAGGAAACAATGGAGCTATGGTAGAGTCCCAGTGTAAAATCCATTCTTATTTTTGAATTCCTAAACTAAAATAGGGCTTTGTCCTCCAATACTTTGCTGATTATTTCATATGCACTTCTATTTTCCCATGAAGGAGGGAGGATGAACTGGCACCCAACCCAATTTAAGGCAGCTTTGCCTTAGGAAACTTGTCTGATATAGAAGAGAGACAAGGAGACATATCAGTGTGTAATGATATGACTTCAGGGCTTGATGGCCCCTGGAGTAAAGAGATCTGCATCTGGGGTCCAGGGCAGAAGGATGGTTCTGTGTAGGGACCAGAGCCATTTGCTGGAAGCCTACCTTGCCTAATACGAACTGACTGTGCTTTACATTCGTTCTTTTCCATTCTAAGGTATTTATTTCTATCACACTTAGTTGCAGGTTTTATGATACTAAGCAGATTTTCTTTAAGACTACCAGAAAACTTCCTGAAGGCATCAACTTCCTTTCAGTATATTACCCACTTATCACCCTGCCCCCAAAGCTCTCCTTTCCAGTTTGTCCTATTAAACTACTATTTGCCGGAGGCAAAATTTCCCCATTCTTTCAATTCTCCTCTCAGGAAGTTCTGGGCTTGTTCTGGATTTATTTTTCGCAGTCTCAGGATAGTTTCTCTTGTTTTTTAAAAATCTTTTTCACAAGGCAGAGTACTGGGTTTGCGTGGCTTTGTTGTCTGCCTGTGAATCACTGATTGATTGACCCGGTGGACGCCCGCGGTCCTTCAGATCCCAAGGCACAGACCTGGCGGCATATTCATCCACTCTGGGACTCCTCGTAATTGCGTCGGTGCTGCACGTACCTATGGAGAAAATATGTTTGGACTGTCAGGCTTGGGGTTAATTGGTTTCAGCTCACGTCTCGGGGAGCAGAGTCCTAGCACACCTGGAGCTAGTACAAGTGCCCAAACAGCTTCCCTCTAAGGGGAGTGGTATCCTGAAGAAAAGCAATTCCTTTTACTCCACCCCTTCCATGCACTGGCACTCACAGGCCCGCTTCCAGCTTCTGCCGAAAGGGACAAAGACAAAATCTTAAAAGTTTTCAAACTCAATTAATTGTTTATTAATATCCAGTAAGGGCACATATATGATGCTTCCCTTTTCATGGCAGGTCAAAGATGAAATTTGCGCTCTGAAGGGTGTGGTTTGCCTTTTGAAATTGCCTGCTACGTCTCTTACGTTGAGCCGCTTTGGAGCAGCCTAAAGTGCCCTTATCTAACCAAGGGAGGCGCACTTGTCCTCATATATAGAGGCAGGAGCCTGCTCTAGGTAGGAAAAGTCAAACCCAGTTTGCACGATGAAGAAGGAGCGGCAGACGGAGGCAGCCCCACACTGTGAACTAAGTGAGTAGCTAGCAAATACGCAAGAGCCCAGAAGTTGCCCAGATGAGCAGACCTGCAAGGGCGATCGATAAGAATGCCTCCAGCCATTTTATTTTCTAGTTGCAGCCGAGGTTCTCAAAGGAATTTTTTTGATTTAGAGAGACTCCATCAAGCCTTTCTGAAACTCCCCAGATGTGTAGAGAGATTCACCGAACTAATTTGTGCATTTTCTTTTCTCTCCAGGAGAAATTCTGTATGGAAACCAGCCTGTACCAGATAACTGATGATGTTCAGCCCAGTTTTTTTGGGTCTCTTGAGTTTGTTTTTACTTTGTGCTTTCTTTTTGGACCTTTCTTTTTGCAGTTCACTCCCCTTTCCTCCTGTTTTGGACTCTTACCAACTAATAGTTTTCTCCGAGCAAGTTTTTACATGAAGAAGGAACTTGGAGGGGTTTATGCTTTTCCTCTCTAGACCTACGACTTGGCTAGATAAGTGGTTATCTTTAAGCGGTAGGGGGAATCTAAGAATGTTTCTGGTAGTTCTAAATGACACTGTGGAACATTAGGATGGTTTGTTAGAATATTTATTTTCTTCCTTCTAAAGCACCACTAGTTTGGCCGTTATCTGAGAAAGACTCTGGGGTGTTAGGTTGAGGCTGGGGATGGCGTGGGATTGCTTTTGGGTAGGTGGAGATACAGTTTGGGGAAAGGAGGCGGCAGCTGGGTGTGATGGAGGGAAACAATTCATTACCGAGGCTTGAGAACAGGGCATCTGATGTGGTAAAACTGGCTGCACTGGCTGAGGTTTCGCGGTTCCTCCTAGGTGTGGGGTGCTCTTGGTGGGGCAGCAGATACTATGATCTGGCTCTGTGGGCGAGAGGAAATGGTCCTGCCGGGAGGCTATACTTTATAGGGTGGAGCTGTACCTGACAAAGCCACGTCTCCAGAAGAAAGGGGCTAGACTGCCAGTACCTAACGTGAAGCCGCGGAGAACTATGATAGGAAACTTACCTATCTCCCAGCTCCCCGCGGGATGGGAGCCTCCAAATCCACTTTCTGTGGGTTGGACCAGCATCAACACCAGCTCTGCAGGATGCAACTCCCGCGTAGTTTGCCGTGGCCCCGCCTCCAGCCTGACGTCAGGGTGAGCGGAGCTTCGTGACTGCCGGCTGGCCATGCGCGCCGGCAGCTGTGGAGTACGGACAGGCCCGCCAATAGGAGTGCGCGGTTGCCGACCTGTTGGCCAATTGCAGAGGGTGTAGGGGGTTGGTCGGCTTGGCGCTGGCCCCAGGGATATGGACTCACCCGCGCGGGGACACCCTGGCAAGTGGTGGCAGAACGGGTAAGGCGACGGGCAAGCGAGGTTAGGGGTCACGCGGTCGCGCCACTCACTCCAGGCCGGCGGGGAGGGTGCTGGGCGGCTCGGGACAGTTTGGGGCACGCGGGGCGCCTTGTGGCACTGTGAGGGACGGTGAGGCTTGGAGGGCCTGAGGCGCGGGGTCCAGATGGGGCCGCATTATTTGAAGGAAGACCGAGAGGAGGGCTCCGGGAACGGGTGCCGGGGAGGGAGCGCTAGAGGTCGTGGGGGTCTCGCTCCTCCCCCGCGGCCTGGGAAAAAAAGGCCGGACCCTGCTGGACCTGCTGTCGCACCGGGACTGGTTGTCGAGGGTGCGCTGACCCGCCTCACGCCGCGGGAGAGGCCGCCGGGCCTAGGTCAAGGTCCCCGCTGCCGTCTTCTAGTCTAAGGAGCCTTGGGGCCCCGTCGGACCCCGGGCCCCCCGCTGCCCTACTTAAACAATAAAATTCTCTTGAGTACAGCCGACATTCCTGGGGCACCTTCGGGTGAAGGGCCTGGGCGAGCCGCTCAGTGCATACTTGTGTGTAGATTGGTTTTAGGGCTGTTTGTGCAGCTCCCAGGCTCCAGGTAGTTTTGCAGGTGACATTTTATTGCACACCGTGTGTAAGTGGGGTGGATGCTGTCCACCTGTACCGTTTCATGTGCCCCTACTTTTAAAGCTGTGCCTTTGGATTCCTTTTCACTTTGGGTTTCCCCAAATTACCTACCACATGTATCAGACTATTTCAAAGAGCATTATTGAAGGAGAAGTTCAGTAACCTGGGCTTGAGTTTTCCTGTGTGTAAAATGTACATACTCTCATACTGTCCACTGCTTTCAAAGGAGTGTTAGGAAGTTAGAGGAATGTGACATCTCTTTTAAAGTGGAAAGCAAAAGCAAAAATTATATGAAAGGAGAGACAAGGGGAGATAGCCCTCCAGGAACTTTTGCTGAGATATTGGTGAAACAAGGGGACACTATCTTGACTCCAGTGGAATCTGAAACTCTATGAGTTTGCACCACTTCTTGGCTGTGTGAACCTTTGAGCGAGTGGCTTAGCCTCTTTGTTCATTTGTTTACACATGCTTAAAATGGCCATTGATGATTATGTTCATCTTACAGGGTTGTTGGTGAATATTAAATGAGTTAATTCACGAAGTGCTTAGAAGAGTTCTGGCATAATAGAGTTTTTGTAATGATTGCCTACATGTGCCTTCTTTCCCCTCAAAGACTCCAAACAAAGAGTTCTGACCTTATTACTTACCCTCTTTGCTCAGAATCCTGTGAGCCTACTGCCAGTCCATGTTTTGCATCCACATCATTGATCTGAGGGCATTGTATCATTCATTACCTGTGATGAGAGGCTTTCTGCTGGGTGTTTATTTTTATCATTAAATAAGGTTTAATACTAGGCGTGTCTGTGAAATGAAATCTGAGAACTTCTTTGGCTGTTCGGTTTTTCATCGATGACACTTCATTTACCTATGGCCTATGCGCAGTTTATTTTGGACCCAGTACCAAAAAGGCCATGATTCAACATATCTGGTTTCTCATGTTTCTGGAATGGCTGTGGGACTTGGGAGGGGAATTTCTAGGCAGTCTGGTAGTACTTCCTGTTAATGAATAGGGAAGCTTGGTATGAGTCTCATCTTACTCTACTGTTAGGAAATCAGCAGTGGTCCCTTGGATTATTCTGTAGAGGTATTGAGCAGCTTTGGCTCAGTTTGATTCAGCAAAATAAAGGTTAGAGCTTGGAAAATGGTATCCACAAAGCATCTTTTTTGTTGACTTATATAGTGCTAAGAGCTTGGGTGGGTTCTGTGGAGTCAAAGACATCTTTATTCCCTGCCTCTGTGCACATAAATACAAATTGCTGACAGATTTAAGCCCTTTCTATGAGCTTAAAAGCCTTTCTCACAATCTCTTGGTGCTATCCAGAAGGCTGTAATGGAAGACTTGTCTTCCAGTTCTCCCCTTTCAAGGAAGCTGCTTTTCATACATATAGCATTACTGGGGACAAGTCACAAAGTGAGAAACTTTGAATTTATGAAAAAGAATATTGTATACTGCAGTAGTGTGCTGTCCCCATTTGGTTGAAGTACAGATGGTATAAATTTAGTTAGCTTGGGAATAAGACAATTTAGGGTTGAAAGCTGGGTGTTGCCTTGATGAGCATGGAGGACTGTGTCTTTGCAAAACGTGACTATCTGTGCTTGAATAAGGGAGAAAGGAGGTGACATCTTTTAAATAGTTGAGTATTTGAGGCCGAAAGGGAAGCCTTTTGCCCTAATATTGTTGTCATCTTTATTATCTGAGTCTCTGTGGTTTGAACCAAGTATCTTGGAAAAGAAGGCAAGGAGCATTTGAATGTGCAGAATACAAAGAGTTAGAAGACTTAGACCCTTGTTGTCCTACTCATTGTTGAGATATCTATTCTTTTGAAAATTTAACATATATTGAACAATTAACCTTTATTGGCCCCTGGAGACACAAAGAACAACCTTCCAGATATCATCAGGCTTACCATGGATAAAATAAAACAACATGTTTGTATTATAAACTGTATTTTAACAAAACAGAATGGAATATGAAACAGTTGGCTAGTTTCAAAGAAAAATATAAGCAAATAAAAATGTGTTTGTCTTAATTCCTCTTCTACTTTTAGTTTAAGCTGAGAGTAACTTTGATTTTTTAGTGTAAGGACCAGTTTCCAGTAGACTTAAACTGGGAAATTAGGATTCTCAGTTCTTGTCTTTGTGCATATTGCTAGTAGGTCCTCTTGTATAGTTTCTTTTCGGTTTGTTTTGTTCCCATTTATTGCTAATGATCAACTGTCTGTTAAAACTCCTAGGTAATGAAAGGAGACAGCTACCAGTTAATTGTTAAAGAATTAACAGGTTCCAGAGAGCAGAAGGAGGCATGTATGAGGCTGGAGAATCTTGTAGTATGCATTGTTTGTCTTTACATACAATTTTTCTTTGCTTTAAGAATGTTGAAATATGTGTTTAAAATTGTTAAGGCCAGGCTCCACCTGGGAGGCCAATGTCTGTCACTGGAATCAATGGGTTGAATGTAACCTAATGATAATCATTCTTCACATTTGCCAGAGAAAAGCTACTTAAGCAAGTATGAGGGAAAACTTTTTTCTGAGGCACAAAGTGGGAATAATAGGCTGATTTAATAGACTTTCTTATTTCAGTATTAAGAGGTCTTTGAAATTGTTCACAGAGCTTGAAATTGTATTCCAGGATAGATGTGTCAGGCCAGGGAGACCAAGTTGGTCCCCCAAAAGGAAATGCACTGCTATAAACTTCTGATTCGATGTGGAAATCAGAGGAAGCTTACACTGTGAGAGTTGGGAGGAATAAAGACCAAGTTATAGCTAGAGTTTGTAAGTTAAGACTTTTAATGATCAGAAGTTCTATGAGCAGTCAAGGAAGTTTGGAAGTTGGTTAAGCCTCAGAGGACCGAGCAGAGAAAATGAAGAGCTCTGTTTAGTGGGTATCAGGCCCTTGTGAGTCTGAAGTGTCTGGTTGATTAGTGATAATTTTTGTCTTAAAGATCAGTACTTCTTGACAGCCTGGCAACTGTAATCGGCTCTGACACCCAGGCAGCCAGTTTCATTATCAGCTTACTCTTTCTCCCCCTATCTTACTCCCTCTCTCCTCTTCTTGCTGTGTAATATTTTCTCTTTTTCTTCTTTCTTTATCATCATGTTCTCAATGTCAGGTTTTTCTTTGAGCTATAAAACAGATTCTCAAACATCTAGCTCAGATGAGAAACAGCAAACTTGATGTTGAGTTGAAACTGTGTTTTTCTGGTAGACTAAACATGATGTCTCTGATTTGGGGAGTATTACTGTGGCATGCAAAGTCAGTAAAACGAAGAACAGTCCTAGGCTGATACCTCAACGGCCCTTGCACCAGAGGGGGAGAGTGAGAGGTGGGTGGGGGACACACACACATGCAGAGGCCCTAATGCATACTGAGCAATATACAACAGCAGCATTGTTTGTACGTTGTGAACTGAGCGTGTTGTGTGGCTTTCAGTTGAAGACATTCTAATATTACCCACTTAGGTAGAGAGGATTAGAGTTTCGAGGCCTTTTCTTAAACTTAACACCAGAGGGATTTTTCACTTTTTTCTTTCTGTCAGGAAATAGATATAGTCAGTCTACAACATCTTTTTCATTTTATATCAAATTCATTTTCATAAGTGAAAAATGGGATACACTTAAATTGAAAAAATAATTCCAGACTTCACCTCCTCAAGAATAATTTAGAAATTCATACAGCTTGTCTAAACTGGTTAACTTCCCTCACCCTCAGTGGGGGGCAAATTGAATTTTGAAACTAATTAAATTAGATGGATATTCTGAATGGAAAGACTCAGAAAATGGTGCTGCTTCATTAACCTGGAATGGAAAAACAGAGGAAGTAATAACCCCTCATTTAAAAAAAAAAAGTGACTAGTAATCTTCCTTATTAAAATATATGGAATTCAGAAAATGATTAGCTCTTTGAACCACTCAAGAATTTTAGAGTTTTGTTGACTCCCAGACATTTAGGAACAGGAGTTTACCTTCATGAAGAATGTCTTGTACAACACAAGTGTTAGATTAATAGTAATGGTTTAGTAGGAATATCAAGGAAATTAGCCTTAAAGTGGATATTTAGGGAGAAGGGAATTTTAGAAGGAGCTGAAATCTTTACATTATCTTCAGGGCAAGTGGAATTTTTAAAATCACAACTCCTTGTTATTTCCGAATACACGACTCAGTTACCACTTTTTAAAGCCTTGATCTGTACATCTGGCAGTTTCCACTTGGTCACCAGCATGTGGCTCGCATTGAATGAGGGAAGCGTCAAGAAGGAGAAGAGGTGGCTTGGCCCATCAACTTGAAACATTCCTATTGACATGAATCAACTGCTTTTCTGCAAACATGCCAACACTTTTCTGGGTGCCTCTGTGAAAATTCTTTTCCTCTTTAATGCTGTCTTTGATTTTATTTATATAGAGGAGGGGACAGAAAAAGAGAAGAATTAGAGGACTGTTCAAAAACATTCCTCTCTAACCTTTATTAGGGAGATCTTTGCGACAGAGTATAGCTCTAAGTGAAGTGGTTTTGAGTTCCTTTGCTCTCTGCAGGTGAATTTTGTAAGAAAAAATTCTTTCAAATTCAAACTTTTTTAAAACCATAGATGGAAAAAGTTTAAATTAAATTAATATCTATTTTAATAGTGAATATTTCAAACTTTTCTTCGGGGCAATTGTTAAAACAGGTTTGGGCTATCCAGATTGTTTTTCCAGAGTTCTTGTAAGTGCTTAGAGAACACACAGAATTGCTGTCAATTAGATATTCAGAATTTATTATAGCTAGTATGTGTTTGGGGGAATAACTTTATTTTGACATAATTTAAACTTAAAGAAATGTTGCAACAATAGCACCAGAGAATGCATGATTTCAAGGTAAGATAAGACTAATGGTAGTGGTAAGCCATAGTGTCTGGGGGAACCTGGAGGAGGGCCATTTACTTAAATTAGAGTCAGGAAATGCTTTCCTGAGGAGGTGGCTTCTAATTCTCTGCATTCAGGTGAAACTCCTTTGAAATTTTGGGAGAAGTAGTAAGTTAAGTTTAAGACAATATATGCCTGTCAACTGGACAGTTGGAAATCTCTGATTATTCATTAGAGAAGCTTTATCAGAGAGAGTTCAACTGAACACCCCTAAAGTGTTCGTTGATAGGCTGAGTGACTCCATGTGACATTTACATTAAAAAAAACACATGTACATGGTAAAATTATTTTTTAAGTGCAAAACAGTATGCACTGTATATTCAGTGAGAGGTCTTCTTTCATCTGACCTCGTTTGCGCTCCCTCACTCCTCCCTCTTAAGGACAGCATTACTGGTTTTTGGTGTGTCCTTTGGAGATAGTCTGTACATGTACAGGTACATATTCTCTCTTTTTTTTTTCCTTTTTGCTACATAGATGATACTCCTCTGTACACTGGGTTTTAATTTGACAACGTATCTAGGAAATTGTTTCCTATAAATATATATAGACCTGCTTTATTTATGACAGCTATATGGTATTCCAGCCTATGAATGTAGCTAGTTTATTTTACCAGTGTACTACTAATTAGACATTAGTAGTTGTTTTTAGTCTTTTGATACTACAAACAATGCTATGGGAAATATTGTGTGAGAATTTCTTTAGGATGTATTCTTGGAAGTGGAATTGCTGGATCAAAGGATATGTAGGCTTTGACATTTTAGACATAAAATGTAATTTTATTAGCATTTTTATCTTGTAAAACTGTCTTACAACTTTTGATAAAGAATGGGGTGAGATAGGTATGTTAAATTTAACCAGGAGTGCCATTTTTTCTATTGTTGATTGCTATTTGATAGGAAATTTACTGGCTCTAAGAGAAGGTGATGCTTTATGGTTGGGGGTGAGCTAGAATTTCAAAGCAGTATTACTCATACTTATCAAAGTATTGCTGAGTTGGTTTTGACTGCTTGTAACTCAACTTGACCTTTTTGTTAATATAATAGAATGATGGAACAACCTGGTGGTAGAGTGAGTCCTAGAGTGCAAAACTGTCTCACTGTAACTTACTGCTTCCTTCCATATTGGTCTTCAGTTTTCATGGCAGTTTAAATTCTGTGCTCTCACACCAGGCGTAGCTGATCCTTTCTATTCCCTGCCCTGGTTATGTTCTGTGGACGCTGCAAACAATGAAGCTTACAATTTGTTGAGTAAAAGTTTTGATGAGAAAGTTGGAGTCTGGAATCCACTTTCTCTTTTGGAATAATACATTCCTGAGTTTTCAGAGAGAAGATCAGAATTTTATTGGCTCTGTATGTAGTTAGGATAGAAATGATCACTTAGAATACTAATGACAATTATTAAAAATTTACTGTGAAATATTTCTGTATAAAATTATTTAACTGCCACCTTTGGAGACTATAGCTTGGGGAGAAACACACTACTACCACATTGTTTGCTTTTTAAATATAACGTTTAAAAGCTTGTTTTGGAGAGGAATCTTCCTCAAATGTATTAAACACTTCTGTGCCTTAAATAGGATATCCATCATCACTACAAAAAACATCTGATTTGATCAGTTCTTGATGAGTAGGGCCACAATCAGAAACTTGAGTTATTTTTTATAATAATAATTTAATAATAATATTTTTCTTAATAATAGTGTTCTCAGAACTGATCAAAGCATAAGGAATGGCTCTTTGCCTCATACCAAGTGGCCCAAGACCTTTACCTGTAAGAGCCATAAAGCCAGATAGGATTTGTGGATTCTAATTTATTGTGGGATAACATAAACTGATAACCTGGCTTCTCAGAATTATATGTGAAATAAAAGTAAAAAGACTCTGAGTGGGGCCAAGGGGCTGTACATGGTTGGAATCTGAGTGATGAGATATGTAAATAACACCTCCCACTCAGGTGAGATGCTGTTGTAACTGCCTGAAAAAGAGGTTGAATTTAGTCAATGTTATTTGGGTCTGTTGTTGGGTGTTTAGTGTTTAGTCATCTGATGGGAAGGACATGTCTAGTTGTCATTATAACAAAATACTTGATATTGGTTGACTATAGAGGTGAAGGATTATGTTTTCTATATTAGCAAAGGTGGTATATTTTACACTCTAGAGTTTGAAACCTAAAACCCTCTTTAGGTCTGAATTCTACAATCCTGTAAAATAAGTATAGAATATGTTGGTTCTGGAATCTGGAAAGGGAAGGATTATCTTAAAAAAGAAAGTAGAGGGCTGTTCTGATAGGACCAAAAGAAGGACCAGTGGAAGAAGACTAAGCAGTAAAAGTAGCTAAGGGGAGGCCTTATACCTTTTCAGTAGGATAGTTATTATTTGGATTTAAGTGAGGGGAGTGCTAACAATAAATATCACCGTGTCTTTTTACATTTGGAATCAGAGAAGAGGTAGATTCTTTAATCAGTAGATCAAAATTTTTTAAAAGTCAACCTTATTTGTGGTATTGACTGGAGAATATGCCATAGATCTGTGGTCAAATGAGCTTACTAATTAATACCTGCTTCCTCCCAATTAAACTTAACTCGACAGGATGCTGGCCCCTGGGATGTCCCCTCACCCCCATACCTGCTTATTGCTGGTTGGAGAGAAATGGCCATATCCTGCTGGCCATGCCTGAGACTCCTGCTGGCCTAGTGTCTTAGCACTCCGTGAGAGCCCAGGAGGGGAGGGCCATGCTTATTAGTTTTTCTTCCCAGTTGTTGAAGGGTTGGGGAAACATAACATTACAGGTGAAGTCTGTCCTCAGGGAACTATTAGGCTGGGAAATAGTGGCCCTCCACTACTGGTATGCTGGTGAGGTGCTTTCTCCCCACTTGCCAGAAAACTGAAGTACGAACTTAAGTTGTTACATCAAAGAGAGTTATGGATCTCTGTCCTTAAAAACTCATCAAAGGATCAGTCTGGTTTTAAATATTTGGGTTAATTTGTAAGCAAAGGCAGAAACTGGGTGATAGTTTAGTAGCCTCTCTGTGGATGCTTATTAAAAAGTATTTGCTTACTTCCCTGAAATACCTTTTGCTTCAATTTGGTTTTGAAGTCTTGCCAGCAAAAATAGGATTAAGACTTTTATATTTATTAAATATCTCTTAATCATATTCTGAAAACTAATTATTTTCAAGATTATCCAATTCAGTAGAAGAATTATTTGTTTCAGATGGTAAGGAATTAGTCATATTCATACTGAGTAACGAAATGCTGGTTCTGAATTTGTTAGTTTGTTCTTGCTAATTTCTCTCCCTCCCTTCTCTCCTTTCTAGAATCCTATTCTAAGAACTCAGGCACTCAGGTATCCACCATGGTGCTGGGTCCTGAACAGAAGCTTCCGGATGGTAACTTACAGCTTTTGGTCATTTTCTAACTTTCATTTGGTATTAGACTTACGTTAGTAAGAGAAATTTACCATGTTTTCCTTTTTGTCATCTATTCCAACAAAAATTGTCCCCGTCTCCCCTCCCCAGCCAACAGTATCATCATTGAGTCCTGCATTCAGAAGTCACCATCTGGTGACTTAGGCTGTAAATGAAAATGTGTTTATAACCACAGAGACTGGCCTCATATCTTCTTTCCACTTCAGAGATGAGCCATGATTACCTACAAGTTTGGTTTCTATAGCAGTGATGCTTTCAGGGGCGGTATTAGTCACAGACCTGGCTTAAAAATCTCTCCTGCTTTGGCCGCTTGTGGCACTTCAGAAACGTATGGAGCTGTGAAGTGCTGAGTGAGCACTTTATACTGTGTATTTGATTAGAGCTTTTTCAGTGCTTTGTCAAGTCCCTCCTAGTTCTAAATTTCTCCTTTAGAATTACCATCCCTTAGAATTTCCATTCTTTTTCTATTTCCTCATCAGTTCAGGGCCACTTAAGGTGAAATGGGTCAACTCCCTATAGAAAGAAAGCTTATGTTTTTCTAGTTAGAGGTTGCAAGGATTTCTTGGAAACACTGAAATTAGAGCTTTGTTGTTCAAAATAGCATTTGATGGCTACAGCAAACTGGGCTTTGTATCTTTCTGAAAGATTAGCCTTATTTTCCCTCCTTCGTTTAAGATTAAAATAGCATTTGATGGCTACAGCAAACTGGGCTTTGTATCTTTCTGAAAGATTAGCCTTATTTTCCCTCCTTCATTTAAGATTAACTGCAAAATGCAGGACTCGGGGAAACCCTGATAATCAGTTTGCAGTGAGCTCTCCTGTCACGAGGGTAAGGGTGCCGACACCCTGTGACCTGGAGTTCTTCACTGTAGGCCTTAGTCAGAAGGCAAAGGGTTCCTGTTTGGTGGTTCCCTGTGGTTTCAGATATTAGCTTGAACTGCGGCAGGATTTTGTAACTACCACATTTTTTGAGACGCCTAACAGAGATAAAATGTCCAAGGATGATTCTTTGAGTAAGTCCTACCAAATGGTGGGGGTCGGGGTGTCCTGTTAGACTGAACAGTTTCCTTTCTTCTGAAAGTTAGGATTTTTAGGTTCCCAGTGGAGCTAGTCAGGAAATGTTATATTTTGAACCCTAGACATCAGTGTTTTTAGAAGAAAATGAAATGGTCCTAAAAATTACCAAGAGGGAATAAAAGTGTGAAATTAGGAAAACTGTTGTGAGATTAATTTTAGAATTGATCTAGTGCTGAGTGACCAGGAAAAAGGGATAAGAGGGAACTCTTTTGTACTTATTGGATTTTCCATTGTGAGAATGTATTGCCTATTCAAAAGTTAATCTATTAAAAATATAAGTAAAAGTATTATAAATAAATTAAGATAGGGTCAGGTTGGTCTTGTGCATTCAGATATAAAAAGAATTAATAACAATTCAATATTATTAATTAATATTAATTAATAATCATTAATAATTTCAGTATCATTAAGGGTGAGCTGTTACTGTATTTTGTTCTTCTTTGTTAATTTCTTCTCAAATCTGTTAATTGAGATGACACTTCTGGAGATGGTGGGGACTCTGCCAGTCTCGGTGCTGTCAACCCTGCCTACAGCGACTCCTCCCTCCCACAGTCCTCGGGGCGCGCGGAGGAGCCCTTCACCACCTACTTTGATGAGAAGATCACCATTCCTGAGGAGGTTAGTGACAGGTTCTTGGAGGAAAACATTATTACCCAGGGGAAAAGTCCGCTGGACAACTCTTGATCAACAGCCTCATCTACTTTTGGCAAGCAGTTTCTGAAGACTGAATTTTTGTTATCAGAATAAGTAGAAACTGTTAATGAAAATGGGGGCCTTGAACAGTTGCCAAGTTGTACTAGTGTTTTCTTTGGTTAAGGAAATATGAATTCCATGTTCCTTTTTCTACAGGAGCTTTTGCCCATGTAACCACGTTTAAGTAGTGGTTGGACACAGAGGAGTACTTACTAATGTTACTCAGGCTCTCGAATGAGAGGCTAGTAGAGCAGGGATGGGAAGGGCTCTTACTCAGACAGAGAAGCAGCCAGCATATTGATAAGTGGCTATGGTGGAAGTGAAACTTGGGCACATCCAGTAACCAACATCCTAAATCCTTTGTTTCTGTGAAGCTGATATTGTTGCTTTATATGTGATAAAATAACAGTTAATTAGATCAGTAGTTTGGAGGTGATAGTCAGTTTGATGTCTGTTCCTTTCTTGTATAGCACTCTTGTTTCAGCTTCCGTAAACTCTGGGCTTTCACGGGACCGGGCTTCCTTATGAGCATTGCCTACCTGGATCCAGGAAACATCGAATCTGATTTGCAGTCTGGAGCCGTGGCTGGATTTAAGGTGAACTTCTTGGTGTTGCCCCTGTTCCTTTTAAACACACATACCACACCCTCACATCCTTTTTGTCTATTCTGCATATTGGATATCAGCCTCAGGGGCATATACTTCACTGGTGGCAACACTTAGATGAAAAGTACTTTCCCATCTGGTTTTTTATTTTATTTTAGTTACATAGTTTTCTTGAACAAAGGAGAAACTGCAGCTGAGAGAAACTAAGTCTCAGAAAGTACACAGTGACCCAGCAGGGTATATGAAGAACCCAATTCAGACCGTAGGTCATTTGATTCCTGACCTGGGCTCTTGCCTGAATGTAGTGTTTCTCATTCACATTTCTAAACAAACCAAAGTCCCCAGTTGTCTAATGAGTGTTACATGGGGTGTGTTTTTTTGTAGCTGCTCTGGGTTCTTCTGTTGGCCACCATTGTGGGGCTCCTGCTCCAGCGCCTTGCAGCTAGACTGGGAGTGGTCACGGGGCTGCATCTTGCTGAAGTATGTCATCGTCAGTATCCCAAGGTGAGCAATGTAGTGTCCTTCCTGTCACTCATATATATCTTAGGAATCTGTATGTCTGGCAGTATGTGCTGGCTCCAGTGTATACAGAGCCAGTGGAGGACTTGGTGGTCAATGGCGCTGAGGACCGGGAGTTTCAAAGGAAATTCTACAGCCCTTTTTGCTGCCAAGTCATGTTACAGAGTTCCTTCAAAATCTAACTTGAGATTCATTTTTTCCCAGAAAGTTTCCTTAGGAAAATTACATTTGAGTAAGCATTTACCATTCACTGTGCCTTCTGGAATCCAGCAGTACCTAGACCATGGAAGGGCTGGGGGTGTGCTCTTCAAGCACTTTCATTCATATATCCATATTACTCCATTACTTTGCATTATACATATTTTTGTTTGACTTGGCCATCAATTTGAAAAAAGTAAGTTTTTTCCTTTTACTATAAACAACATGACAATGTCTTTGGATTTGCTAATAATCACTTTTCAATTTACCCTCACCTTAGAGGTTACACTGTCTTCTACAGCTTCCTTTTGGACATTCTGGGCCTTTCTTCCTGCACCCTAAGGCAGGAATGGACCCTGTGTCTGGAAGACAGCTTTGACCTAGAGTCATCTTTAGATAAGACACTGATCTACCTCTGGTTTGTCCTAAATATTTAATCTCCTATTCTGCTGTGAGTAGGTATCCTTACCTATTTGGTTTTTATCCTTATTTGTTTCTCAAAAAGACCTTGGTAATTTATCATTTCTTTTAGCCTCTCTTTCTTTATGTATTTTAAAAGTTGTCTTTTGTGGCAAATTTTTTGGGTAGCAGGTACCTGGAGGTGTTTTGTTTCTGGCCTCAGTGAACTAGCATTAATTTAACTAACTTTGTCTTTCAGCTGGATTGTTAGACCAAATCAATTTCCCACCTTGTTGTATATCACCCATTTCCAGTCACTCTACCCTGGGTCCATTTGCATACCTATCCTTTTTCATTTGCGTGTGTATTATCATTATGTTAAGGTTGACCCCAGCCTTTTCATGTTTATTTTGTCTCTTCAATTGTCTTGAAGGGTATTTTCTTCTTTCTATTCGTTTTCTATTCTTTCCTGAACAATGTTGACCATATTTGCATCCTCATTTTTACCTAAAACTTTTAGGCTTGTTTTTAGGCAGGAAATTAAATGGAAATGAATGAATGAAAATTCCATTCCTCTCTTGAATGGAAGGGAAAGAGACAAAATTAGGATCAGCTCTTGCCCTGATCTTGGTGCATAGGGCCTGCCACATAGAAGCCCCCCTACCTTCTCTAACTAGGGGCCTAAGTGCAATGATGGGCCAAATGGTGCCAGGTTCTGGTACTTCCATCTCTAGAGTGAAGGCTTGTAAAGGTTTATATATGGGTCAGTACTGAAATGTAAATTCCAAACTCTGGAGGAAGTTCTTAGAAATGACTAATTAGAACCATGTCTTTCTGCTGTTTTGTGTTTAGGTCCCACGGATTATTCTGTGGCTGATGGTGGAGTTGGCTATCATTGGCTCAGATATGCAAGAAGTTATTGGCTCAGCTATTGCTATCAATCTCCTGTCTGTAGGAAGGTGAGGGGGTTTTCCTCTAGAAAGCAGTCAATGTTTTGGCTAGATTTAAAAGCGTTGTAAAAACAAAAAAACCCACCTCATTTTCAATTTTAAAAGATTCAACTCAAGTATTATTTTCTCTGTAGAATCTTTCTGGAACCACCCTCTTTCCTCCTGGCAGATACAGGGTCTGTATCTTCCATGTTCTCATGTCGGTTCATATATATCTACTATACAGTGTGTGGCATTGTGTATAACATTTATTTGTATATCCGTTTACCCCACTTGACAGTGAGCTCCTTGAAGGGTGAGACCCATACTTTTCAGCTTCATATCCTAAGTGTGTGACATAGTAGACAGTCATGGTTTGGATGACTGTAATTCAGTTAGTGCTGTGATCCTAAACTACCCAAAACCTGACCTCCTGCCATTGTCCCCTCCCCCCAAGTCCTTACTTCTCCGCCTAGTATGTATGTGGAAAGCTGTTCCGAAGAACAAGAACGGGTTTCTCATGTTTCATTTATTTCCTTTAATCTCTATTTATCTCTGACCTAGGATTCCTCTGTGGGGTGGAGTTCTCATCACCATTGCAGATACCTTTGTATTTCTCTTTTTGGACAAATACGGTAAGGAGAGTGGGAATGGAGGCATCAGTCAAAGGAGCTGCTTTCCGTGCTGTGGCTGATGGCGAGGTCTGCCTCCTGTCATCTCACGGCTGCATTTTTCCCCTTCAGGCTTACGGAAGCTAGAAGCATTTTTTGGCTTTCTCATCACCGTTATGGCCCTCACATTTGGATATGAGGCAAGTGTTACAGGCTATTCATTAGCTTTATGACAAAAATTTTTTTTTGCCTTTTATTATAAAAGATGCTAGGATAGTTTAATTGTATTGCATGTGTTAACAAAGAGTCAAGTTAGCCCTGGGCCAATTCTGAAAGCAAAGAGTTGTGTCCATGAAGGCCTTCAGGGGCTCTTAGGTCAAAAAAGACTAGACTTCCTAGGACTCTCCGGACTAGACTCCCTGGTTCCAAGCTGGCCATCCTGACAGCTGAACACTCTTGGAGAAGGTTAGGAAGGAGGCGGCAAGGTTATTCTTGGCTCTTAATTTAGAAAGGTTCTCTTTTTGCTTATCCTGGTTTTACTAACTGCACCTTGAACTTTCTCTATATTGTAATATTTAGTGAACTATTGGGGATATAGTGGGTGTTTCCTGGTTTGTGCTCCAATCCAGACTCTCCTAGGAATCAGTATCTCTATATGCAGTAATAGTATCTTTCTTTGTCTACCTGTTATAAAGTGATTTCTGTTTATTGACCTGGCTAAATTTTAAAATATATATCTAATCTATGAGTAGATTATGTAGCTTAGTCTAAGGCTTCTAAAAGAAATGCTGAACCAGGAAAAAATATGTATGAGAAGTGGTTATGAATGAGTCTTAGCATACACTAGTGACAAACATGTGATTTTCAGGTAAATGTAGGTGAACAGAAGCCTGATAAGTCTGAGTAATCAAGAATTGACTCTGTGACTCTGTATTCTTAGATCTGTCTCACAGGAGCTACTGTGAAGCTAATATCAATAAGGGCCTTAGCAGCCATTTTAGTTCTTTAGAATATTAATTACGTTCTGTTCACATCTATTTTGTGTATCTAAACTATGATGTGAAATATCTGGATCCCCCAGTCCTGAATTCTCTGACCTCTGGTAGCAAGCCCCTTATGCTGCTTGGTTTTTTGATGGTTCTGTGTCCCTTGTTTTACTAGTAGGTGTTGAAGAAGAAAGGATTGTAAGAGTAAAGGATGTTGAATGCTTCTTAGTACCATGTTACTCCTGTGACCTCATATTCCAGTAAAAGCTAATAGTTGTTACGTTTGTATGTAGTATGTTACAGTGAAACCCAGCCAGAGCCAGGTGCTCAAAGGCATGTTCGTGCCGTCCTGCTCGGGCTGCCGCACCCCACAGATTGAGCAAGCTGTGGGCATCGTGGGAGCTGTCATCATGCCACACAACATGTACCTACATTCTGCTTTAGTCAAGGTGAGCAAGGCCCTTACCTCTGGGTAGTTCACGGCATCTTTTCCTTTCATTGCAAGAGACACACATTTAGTTTTACAACTGTTAGACCCTAAAGGAACAAGGTATTTTTCCATTGTCGAATATGTATAAGCTCAACATACTTGGGCTCTGTTTTTATCACCAAGGTGACCAGTGATAACTAACACCACAGAGAAACCAGGACTAAAGGTCTTCATTGAAGGTGTGAAAGTGTACCTTGTGTTTAAACCTCCAAAGCCTTAGGGGCCTTGAGGAAGTCAGGAGTAAAGAACCCAGCTAGACTTTACCAGTTGGGCTTAAAACAATAGTTTGTTGGGAGGTATCAGAGAACTTTATAAATTAAGGTTATACTCCTCTTAGGACTGAAATTGGGTTGTTTTTGCAGGTTATTAGATCTAGCCACAATTACTGACAGCTCATTGGTCACTTAGTCACTCTTTCCTATTTGGGGAATGTGCAGTGTCGTCAAAGGGTCATGCAGTTCTTACTCACTTAATGAACTTGGATGTAAGCAAGTTATCTCATATTTCATTTGGTCAATCATTTGCCCTCTAAATCTTTCAGCTGACTCCAAACTCATGAAATATTACAAGGAAACTTGTCCAACTAGTTAAAAAATGACTGCTGCTGTTATGTTTTTAGTCCAGACAGGTAAACCGAGCCAGTAAGCAGGAAGTTCAAGAAGCTAATAAGTACTTTTTCATCGAATCCTGCATTGCTCTCTTTGTCTCCTTCATCATCAATGTCTTTGTTGTCTCAGTCTTTGGCGAAGCATTTTTTGAGAAAACCAACAACCAGGTGGTGAGTAGCCAGGGTCATGGGTGGTCGTGAATGGCAGGGTGAAGTGAAGGCTGGAACGGGTAGGAAAATGGGACAGTGACTTGGAGCTCAGGGGCAGTGTGGAGCTTTAGCCTCAGTTCTGCCCCCTAAGCCAGTGCACGTGTCAGGGCCTAGAGTCCGGGGGCTGACCAAGCCTAGCCCCACCTTTCCCAGCTGTGGGCTGAGAAGGGGACTTGCCTCAGACTAAATATTGCCTGTGTTGTTGTGTTAATGGCTTCACATCTCTTTGGCTCTTTGGCATCCCCTTTTGTTTCCTGTATCAGCTGCCAGCCTAGTTTCCTGGCATTTGTGATGAGGACAGGTTGGGAGGAGTCAACAGGCAAACCAGAAACTGAGGCTGGGGCAGACTCCTTTGCATTTTGAATTCTCTATAATCTCAATTACTGATTGCCTGTCTAGTTTTGATCACTTTGTTTCCTATCTCTAGGACCTCTGACTTCTGCTTTGACTAAAGACTCCCTATTCTGGGTGTCCTCTCATATTTGAAGCCTTCCTAAGCAGGGTCAACTCCTCCTGTCATCATTTAAAATGACCCCACATTCATGTATTACCATGCACCCTCTAACTCCGTAAATAGTTTTGATGACACGGGAGTGTAGAAAGATTATGGTGACATTACTACCAGTCTCTGCTCCTATCACAACCTGTATCCAGTGTCTTACTCCAGCCAGTGTCTTACAGATGACTTGTTTGTGATATATAGGAGAACTCTTCTTATATAGTCCTCACCTCAAAAATAACATTTGCTCTTCAACTGCTCTGTGTTCCAGGTTGAAGTCTGTAGAAATAGCAGCAGTTCCCATACTAGTCTTTTCCCTGATGATAATTCAACACTGGCTGTGGATATCTACAAAGGGGTAATGCTATTCAGATTTGTGATCTTTTCTCCTGAATCAATGTTCTTGGCATAGTATCTGGTCTCTTCAGAGCTGAGCATATCTTCTTTGGAGTGTCATTTATTTCAGAGGTCCAGATGTCAGACAAGCAGTTTAGATTCCATGGGAGGGAATAGACACTCAGCTGAAAGATGAGGTGTTCCAGCAGTCTCCAGCTTTGTGCTGATCTTATATTGTTCTACAGATGTTGGGATGACTGAAGAAGCATTCCTTGTTAAGTGTTTTTTGTTGAGCCTCGGTCCTTTTGTGCTGGGTACATTGTGAACCTCCAAGAGTAGGATATATAGTATGTAGCATTTCCCAAATACATTTGACCTTTTTCTTCACTCCTCTTAACATCTTCCAGAATAATAGGTTAAGGAATATAATTTGGGAGATGTGGTATGACCCTTGTTTTTTTTTAAGTACTTTGAATACTTAAAAGGTTGAAGATGAAGGCTTTAGGAGCTTGGAGAAGAGAAAAGACTAGGTTGAGGAATGAAAGAACACCCAGCAAAATTTAAGTGGAAAGTGTCTGAATGAGGTCAGGTCCTGAGTGCTTCTAGGACAGTGCCCAGCACAGCACTTGGTATAGGTGGGTGCATAGCAAAGAGGGAGAAAAGACGTTGTTTTAGGTGCCATCTAAGCAGATTGTGGATACAGACCTCTCCCTTGCCTCTCCCAGGGTGTTGTGCTGGGATGTTACTTCGGGCCTGCTGCACTCTACATCTGGGCAGTGGGGATTCTGGCTGCAGGACAGAGCTCCACCATGACAGGAACCTATTCTGGCCAGTTTGTCATGGAGGTATGTGCTGCGGTGACTGGTGTAGAGTAGAAGAAGAGGAAATTGCCCTTTTGTGACTTCTGATTAACCCCATGTTTCTAAGGTCTTCCTGAACCTCCTGACCTTTTCCTGTCACGCGTTCCTGACATTCATCCTGCTTCTGTGTGTTCTCAGGGATTCCTGAACCTAAAATGGTCACGCTTTGCCCGAGTGATTCTAACCCGCTCTATTGCCATTATCCCCACTCTGTGTGTTGCCGTCTTCCAAGATGTAGAGCATCTAACAGGGATGAATGACTTCCTGAATGTGCTGCAGAGCTTACAGGTGAGGAGGGAGCTGGGGACACTCACATCGCATGTAGTCAGGCAGCTCTATGTATTGCCCAGAGGTATCAAACCTGGTGCTGGGAAAAATTCAGAAGAAAGAGGCACAATCTTAGTCTGCAATAAATGTGTATGAAATCTCTGGTATCTAAAAGGTTTTTACAAATAGCTTGATTTTTTTAAGCCTGTTGAATGGGAATTATAAGCTGTCATTACATATAGAACACAAAATTATAGTTCATTAATCCAAGAAAACATTAAATAACAAAAGATACTAAGTTAATGGAGGTTGAGAAGACAAGGCAGATACAAATATTTGTAGAGACACTTATGATCATAATTGATGACTGACTAATGACAGGTCTACAGATTTCAGCATACAATGCTTGAGCGTGTTGGGATGATGGAGTAACTTCTGGAGTAGACAAGGAGTGTTTCCCTTTTGCTAACAGTGCTGCTCCCTGGGGTGATGCAGGGGCCCCCAGTCATCCCACCTGATCTTAGTTCTTTCTTTTCCAGCTTCCCTTTGCTCTCATACCGATCCTCACGTTCACGAGCTTGCGGCCGGTAATGAGTGACTTTGCCAATGGAATGTGAGTGTCCTCCTCTGAGTTCCCCAAAGATGTGGGGGGAAGGGTATCTTCACCAAACTGGCTGGTCAGAAAGTGAGTCATTCGGGGAACTATGTATTTTGACAGGTGACTACTAGGGCTTCCCCCTCAGTCTTTGGCTTAGAAAATGGACACTGTGAATGTAATAAAGGAGGGCAAGCATGTTTTTTACTTCTTTCTGCAGGGGGAAGTGCAATTTATAGGGCTTTCACTTCAACTTCAGCCATTAACGTTTAAATCATGTTAATTCCATGTTAAGTGATCTTAATAAGAAGGGCATAAGCTAAACCTCTTAAATGTGTCTTTAAAGGCTATAGGTATTTGAAATAATTTGTTGCATCTCTAGTAACTCTCAAGACTTGTTGGATTTTTAGGACTTGTTGCATTTCTAGGGACTTAAATAGGGATTATTTGATAGTATTTTTTTTCCCTCTTTCTCCCTGTCAGTGTCTGACTTGGCTCATTTACCCTAATCTGGGACATACTAAGAACCACTTTCATTTCATTTTGAAATACCTCTTAACTCCTGTCTACCCAAGAAGACACAGTGTCCTTTTCTGTTTGTGGATAGGTTGGAATATTCCACCAGTGATTTTGGATGATTCTTTTTACAGAGGCTGGAGGATTGCAGGCGGGATTTTGGTCCTCATTGTCTGTTCCATCAACATGTACTTTGTCGTGGTTTATGTCCGGGAACTAGGGCATGTGACATTGTATGTGGTGGCTGCTGTGGTCAGCGTGGCTTACCTGGGCTTTGTGTTTTACTTGGTAAGTGCACTTGGGAGGGGCAAAGGCATAGGTGTCAGGGATGGTAGAGGTTGGGGGGGCTGGCTAACACTCAGAAATGAAAGGATTTTCAAAAGGCAAAAAGCAGTCTGTCTCCAGGTTATTGAGACAATTTACATGAAATTGTTAAATCAGCTATAGTTCAACAATATTTTTAACCATAAAATTTATTTTGCTTCCTAAGAGCTATCACTTTTCAGTTTCTGTCACTTCTCTCTGGTTTCCATTCTTAATTCCTAATGAAAGTGTAGCATGTTTGAGGAACTAAAAAAAGAGCAGCAGTAAAGGAAGTAGAGGGTGGTAGAAGATGGGGCTAGAGCAGGGGGCCATGCACTGTGATTTTCTCAGTGATATTCTTGCAGTGAATTATTCTAGAGTTATTTTAAAATGATGGTTATAAAAACAAAGCTACATAGAAAAGCAATGCAGAATTATGTATACCCAGATAGTAAAAAATGTTTTCAGAAGTCTAGAGTAAATTACATTAAAATGTTATTAGCGGTGTCTTAGGATGGTGGGATTATGGATATAGTCTTTCTCAATTTTCCACGTCTTTTCTTACATTATTTTTATTAATGGAAACAGCTATAGTAACATCAGCAAATCCACCTCTCTATTCTATACAGGTTTCTGTGAAAAATGCAAGGGTTGAGCTTTAGGGACAGCAGAATTTATACTGTATCTGCTGCAGAGAATGATTAAGATGGAGGTGGAAACCTGACACTGATCTTAACGTTTACCTAGTCCCCACTCCAGTGTCTGCCACGGGTTAGGTATTTGATGGAGAAAATCACTTTTGTGAATTTTGAAAAATTATGTCCTGATTGTTATATCTTTTTTTTCCTGCTCCCTAAACTTTGGACATGCTAGGATTATGCTAGGGACTTACTCCAAGGAAACCTAAGTGACTGAATATGCCCTTGACAAGGAATCGTTATAAAAATTCGCTGTAAAGTTAAGGGAATCCTTCCTTCATACAAATTGGTTTTGAAGGTGCCAGATTGTCCCCATTCAGCCTGAGACTGTTGAGCCTGAGAAACTATTCCAGCTCTATTAGTCTGGCACTCCCCCAACAGGAGGAATGGGGTAGGACTGAAGAAAAGTGGTCTTTAGGGAACTTCCAGTTGGAAGGATTCAGTTGACAAATTAAATAGAAGTTTCTGATCTGCCACTGACAAATATAATACTGGTCTTGAGGGCATGGTAAGATCTCCATCATTCCTTTTTTTCCCCCACTGAAACTGAGGTCTTACCTGCTTGTTTTTGTTCCTTATAAGATATCAAGACAACCCGGCTCTATTAGTTTGTCACTCCCCCAACAGGAGGAATGGGGTAGGACTGAAGAAAAGTGGTCTTTAGGGAACTCCCAGTTGGATAAAAGAAACAAACCACAAAGACAAAGTGGTAGGAACAAAGGGAACTCAGTACTGAAAATAGTATTTAAAAACTTTGTTGAGGAAAGCAGAATCCAGATGTCTTGAAGGGGATATAGGATTTAAAGATTGACTTGTACAACCTTGGTGGTAGAAGATAGGCAAAGCTTGGTGTTCCGGAAAGAGAGCAAGTTCTTCTCTGAGCAGTGCAGTGTGAGCAGTCACGGTGGGAGGATGGTGAATGATGACCATATTTTATCTTTCAGAGTTGGCAATGTTTGATTGCACTGGGCATGTCCTTCCTGGACTGTGGGCACACGGTAAGCATCTCTAAAGTCCTGCTGGCGGAAGAAGCCACCGGTGGCTCTTCTAAGTAAACACTGGGTCAGTCTGTCTGTTTTCCGCAGGTAGCCATCAGAGCCAGTGTGTTTCTATGGTTTACTGTGTGAACAAAGCCAAAAGTATGTGCTGTTGCACAGACTGCATTTAGGACTCAACTGTTTGTTGGGAAAAACTTTGTTTCAGTGTGTGTTTGAAAGATAGAATTTTTTTCTTCCTGACTTCCTGGAAACTGAATTAGATAGGATCTTTTAAAAGCTGACACTTGCTGCTATCATTCTAACACTAAACTCTTAGGTAAGCTGCCCAAGGTCCGGTTTGTCTTATCCTTTTGAGAGATAATCCTTTATGCATGATTCTTAACCAGGTTAAATAATGAAAAACACTTGGAAATGCAATAAATATTTCATAATACAAATTACCGAATGAGTACACAAGTTTCATTTATCAAAAGATAATGGATGTTAAAAGGCTGACAAATGCTTTTTTTATGCATATCCTTTCACTTGTTTTAATTATAAAAAGTAAAATCTCAACTACAGTGGTTTCATCCATATTAAATATAAAATGATGAGACATCTGCCTCTGTCAGGTTCAGGATTCTCTTAACTTATTTCCACCTCAAATTTCTCAGTGGAAGTTAAGAGGGGTGAGAAAGCATAAAGAGGATAATAAATGGACAAATAGAAAAACTTACTGTTGATGGTTATTAATCACCTTGAAAATCACTTAGATTGTCCTCAGAGATTGAAAGTTTATCAGGAATTTCTTGGGAGTCCTGATTTTAGTAACTTTCACATTAGTACAGAGCTTTCCTAATGATGTTTATTCTTGAGCACATGTAGTTCTAAAATCTTCACCTTCCTCCTCCAAGAGGGTAGTGATAGAAAAGATGGTAGCATTTATGAACAGACATTCTCAAAAAGACTTAAAAGGGGAAGAGACATTGTTTTATTCCTAAAGCCACCTCCTACCAGAATCATCATGTTTTTCTGAAGCATGCTCAAGATGACTTGCCAGGCAATCTCAGGAGCTGTAGACCTAACAGTTGCAAAGCTCTCTTTCTCTCACCGAGTTCAGCATGCTTGCCAAGTTCTCGCTCAGCAAGGTTGCCCTGGGTTACCTCTCTTCAGCCATTCCCTCAGAGGGAAAAACTCTCTGAGACCAGATGGTGGAGCTCTGGAGTCAGAGGAAACGGGTCCCTTGCGCTTGAAGCTGCTGCTCTTCAGCTACTTATGACATTTTTACATTTGGAGTCTGAGAGTGTGTGAATATCTTAGATCAAATCACATTTGTCTGGTGGAGAAAAATAAGTCTTTTATAGCCGTTGCCTTGGTGAGAACAGTAACGGGAGTGGCATTGAAAGACTCGTTTTTGGATCTTTCCTTCTGGAGTCCTGGCTGATTGACACTGTTCATCTGAGCCCCTGAGCATTTTTGCTGATATTTGCACATAATCAAAAGCACAGACTGTGTGGATCGTCTTTTATAAGGCATTATGGGGAACTACTGTGTGTCACTGACCATACTTTTATCTTACCTCTCAAGGAGTACATTGTGGGATCATGAAAGGCTTATTTCCCTAACCATCCTCATAGCTGCCCCTGTCCCCTACCATCCTTCCCCAAAGTAATCATAAGGGCAATCTGAAGATACTGGGGACTAACATCCTAAACACTTGTCTGGTTCCAGTAAGTGAAAGCCAACTTGACAAAAACATTCTTTGTAAAGATGGTACAGTAACGGTTACCCTTGTCCTGAGTCTGGGTGGATCTAGTCTCAGATTCCCAAGTACTGAGAAGCCCAGGTAAAAGCTGCTAGTTTTTTTTTTTTTAAGGTTGTATTATGACTTGCAATGATGGAAAATTTCTTCGCAGTTAAATGGCGTTTTATAATGCTATGTGAGCAGTATGTAAAAAACACTACTATCCTGTAATCCATTTGATCCTCTTGGAAGCTAAGTATACTTCAACCCATATTCTGGGTGCAATAAACAATGCTTAGAACTTAAGTCTTCCAGTGCCAGCATTTGCGGTGTGTTTTGACAGTGAGTTTCTGTGGAATGTTAAGGATATTCGATTGTATGTTATGTAAGCTGGTCCTTGTTCTCCATAAATGTGACATGAAATAATTGTGCTGCTATGGCATATGGGGACTTAACGGGGATGGGGAAGAGCTGCAGATTGGCTCCTGTGAGGTCCTCCTAGTGGCATTAGGAGTGGTGACAACTGAGCTTTAGTGACCATTTAACAATATGTAAACCTGGTTTGTAATTAAAAATTTTTTTCTTTTTCCAGTTTGGTTTCTTGAGTATTTTTTTTAACCTTGGAATACTATATTAATGGGGTTGCAACAGCTTTGAAATACTGAAACACCAACTACCACCTGGAATGACATAGGAAGCCTGCATTGTTAGTGCTTTTCTCTTTAGAAGGGATAGATACAGTTTTAGTCCCCAGAAGACTTGATGAATTTTAGACACCAAACACTTAACTTCTGTTAATCCACTTAGTCATATAGTTTTGCTATTGCTAAAGGTCACATCATTATCATATTTAAACTTGAAAAAAATTGTTATTCTGCTTTTCTCTATTTTAAACTATTTTACTATCTGTAGTCTTGTTTCACCATTGAAATAGGCTTTTATATTCTATACATGATGCCAATAAAAAGTTGGAGTATTTGAAACTAAAATTGTGTAGCTTAAAAGTGAGTGAACCTTTGGTAGATCTAATATAAATGGAAATATTGGCACCATTTAATGAAAACAAAGACAAAGTTTAGGCATTGTGAACTACTAGCCCTTCACCAGATGCATGGCAAGAAAATCTGAGTCAGCACTTCATTTTCCCTTTCTCTGTTGCAAGCTTTCCCTGTCTGTCTTACAGGAGCTGAATACTGTAAGTAACACCATAGAAGTAATCTGGGAATTCTTCATGCTGTTCTCCCTCATTTAGCTCTCCCTTCTTAATTTGGGTTTAATCAGAACTAAAGTAGGATGTATAACAATTTGGAGATCCTAATTTGAGACATTTCCTTGAGCTCTGCCTTCTTGAATGCTTTCTGCTCCTTCATTGGATAGGACTAGTGAATTTAAATGTATCAGCTTTTCTTGGCACCTATTAGTTTAGGAATGTTAAAAATGACCAACACTTATTACCATGTGCTACTCCTGGTCTGAGCACTCATATGATCTCATTTCATTCTTATAACAAGAGGATAAGTCTTTAAGTAGATGAGGCAGCTGAAAGGCCAAGAAGTGAAATCACATCACTTAATAAATGGGCAATTGGCATTTGAATATGAATAGCTTAACTCCAGAGCCCACGTTACCATTAGCAAACCATCTTATGTAACATACAGTACACCCTTCATGCAAAGAAACCAAGCTTTGGTGTTTAGGAGCACCAGGAACATCAGCACATTGAAGTATTCGCTTGATACTCTGATGATCACTAGAAGAGTTGCAACTCAGAAGTTGACAGCTGGTAGGCTCATATTTTAAAAACTGACTTTGATGTTTTATGGCAGGCATAGAAAATGGAATAGGTCCCCTGTGATCCTTCCCCAGCGGTAGCTAAGAACTAATAGTAATATTCATTTGTGGTACCTCTCTGCCACTGAGTGTTTTAGCCCATTCCTGTGCAATCTAGCTCCATCTCTCTGTCTCAGAGCAATATGACCAACCAGTGATGGAGTTCTGTCTACTAACTCATCTAAGTGATACACTCTAAGGATCATGGGACTATTAATGCAATCTTTGCTTACTACATAATGAGGAAGCCTATCCACCTTTGCTTGCTTGAGAAAAGGCTACAATTAATTTACATTGTATCTGACAATTGCTCTTGCTTACTAAAACTAGGGACATAAGGACCTAAAGTGAGTAAGCGATCTGAAGTCTGAAGAGCTGTTTCTCTGCCCTCAGGCCAGTGTGACGCTGATTTCCTAGTCCACTGGTTGAGAATAATTTTATCTTGGGCTCCAGCTGGTCTCATCTTCACACAGTCATCAGAAGCTTGTGAGGTGTACAATTGCAGTGACTTTTCCACTACAGCTGACCCTTGAACAGCAGGAGTTTGAACTGCAGGGGTCCTTAATATAGTATGTAATACATATAACATACAAAAGATATGTGTTAATCAACTGTTATACATTATCAGTAAAGCTTCCATTCAACATGAGCTATTAGTAAACTTTTGGGGGAGTCAAAGTTACTTGTAGACTTTTGGCTGCGGGGGTCAGTGCCCCTAACCCTGACACTGTTCAAGGATTAGCTTTATACTATAATAGGATATTTTCCTCTGGTAGATTTATAGCCTGCATTCTGTGTTAACTTACAGGCTGTTGGTGCCAAGGGGCAATAACATTCCTAAAACCCTAAGTAATAATCATAGGGCTAAAATGAGACTCAGTGGTTGTCCCACAGCATATGCAGAGGAGAGAAAAACAGTAAAATACAACTCCACAGATCCCAACATAAACCATTTGGTTTCAGGTCTCCAGGATTGGGGTCTGGCAATGTGTTAAAAGTAGCTGAAATCATTTTGACTCAGCCTGACAAACATTTGGAACCCAGAGATCATCTCCCTCTCTCTTAGCACATGCCATTTTATTTTATTTTTGAATGAAGGGCTTTCCTCTGCTTAGGTGCCAAAAGATAATGGGGCCCAGATCGAAGGACTTAGGATTTAGACCATTTGAAATTTTATTTCTAACACACACAGTACTAAAGTAAAACACAATGCCCTTGCCCTTAGAGTCCTGATCAGGAGACTCATCCTGAGGCAGTGTCAACAAGAGTAGCCAAAGTGCAAATTTTGCTGAGGGCATTTGGTACTCCTCAGTCTAACTATTTCAGCTCTTAGCTACTAATACCATAAACCATTCATGTGTCCAAGCCATGTCTTTTCTGAAATAAAAATCATGTAGCAGTACGAAAAGTCTACACTGATATGCCGATTATAGGTACTTAAGTGCCAGTTTCGATATTTAAATAGTTGCAAATCAGCCTAATGCTTTCCCATCTTTTTGTCCTTAGTACCATCTTGGATTGACAGCTCAGCCTGAACTCTACCTTCTGAACACCGTGGATGCTGACTCACTTGTGTCTAGATGACTGACAGCCTGAGAGACTGTATAAGAACCATTTATTCTTAGTCCTTTTGTGCCAAGTATCCTGTTAACATATCTCTGTTAGTTCAGAGGTGAGTTTTGTTCAAATGTTTTGAACAAAAAGCAAAGATTTCCTCATGGGAAGGGTGTTAAAAGCTGACAGCTATAAGTGTAGGTCAGAGACCACCCCCCTCAACCAAAGTCCTTCAACAGAGTCAAATGACAGGCCTGTGATGGCCACACACCCCTATGGGTTTGTGTTTTCTGGAATTTAAAAAATATTTATGTGTATATATTTATGTAAACCTGAACAGACCAGTTTGGGTAGAGTTTTAAGGTTATATAAAACTGATAGATCTGTTTTGTATTTTTTTAAAAAAGTATCATTCAAATAAATTAGATATTCAGGTAGATTTGTCTGGAGCAGAATTAAGAAAGGGGGTAATGCTCTTTTTCTGAATGAACTGAGAAAAATTGACTTACTTTTTAAAGTGATGCTTGACTATGGCCAGTTAAATTTCCCTTTGATTTTAACTGACGAGATCCTTAGTAACACTGGTACTAGCACATCACATCTAAAGACAACATTTCTTTTATTTGGTAATCATAGTTAATCCTGGTTATTGGCATACTTTGTAATTACTGATTCTCTTTGTTAACACTCTTCTTGAATTTTTTTTCAGAGATATGATGGTGTTTTCCAAAGAGCTTAACGCCTAGTAGCAAGATCCGCAAACCGTACTTTAACCGATAATCGGTTTTCCATGCTGCATTGTCATTGAGCCCATTCTAGCATTCAGGTTTTAGGTAGGAAAGATGAAACTTATAATACTTAATTTTTAAGTCCCGACAGACGATAAGAGAGATATTTTTTTTCTTTATAATATTGGTATAGTCCCACCATGTCTTTTCTTCCCACTTTTCCCATTAATACTCCAAACACCATTTCTAGGTCCAAAGTCTATTTCCAGGAGTGGCTAATAGTCCTAATGTTGAATCACCCAAGGAACGCTGTCTTTTATTTTATTTATACAACTAGTATGAGATTAGCACTTAATTAGTAATATGCAGATTAGTCCACATCACAGACTGCCTGTCTGCATGTGGGTTAAAGATTTTTTTTTACCCCTTTTCCTAAACAGGACTTTTTTCTTACGTTTTTTTATAATAAAAAGTTAATATTTAATAATTGAAAGTTTTTGCAGAATTATCTGATTGAAAAGTCAGAAAATTTTCAACACTGGGCTCACATTCCTGCATGGAAATGCAGCTGGCTGGAACTGAATGGCAGCTACCATTTTTTATTGAATGTACTCCAGATGGTATACACCCCTTCATTCATTTCCTTCCAGCCTCCAAGGCATTGAGTTTCCAAACAGTGTAGCCTTTACAGGACTTTAAGCATCATTTTCCTCTTTCAGTATAAAAGTTAAATATCTGACTTATTTTATCTGCCTTATTTTAAAACTTGGTACCTTTCAGTAAGATTTTTTTAAAAAATTCAGACATTGCCTATCTTCATTTATAGTGACATGGCCCTCTTAAGTGGCAGGGATTTTTCTATGATACTTTCAGATTCCCTCATTTCTACGTAAGGGGCCCTTGAAACTCCTGTATGAGCAGCAGTCTTGCAATTCAGGTTAGAGTCCTTCTGATCTTAAAAATGAAACTGAATTAACATCACTTACCAGTTTTCTCTTGAAAAAGAGATTTTTAAAAATGGGTTTTAAAGTGTTTTGGTTTCTTTATACACAGAGAACAACTCTAGATGGATTTTTCTTTCCCCCTGGGCAATTTCATCTGTCAGCAGTTTTATTACCAGAAAAGGTTTGCGGAAAGAAAAGGAAAGAAACCGTGTTTTGTGACTCATAAAAAGATGAGGTGGTTGGTCAAATTGGTCAAACAGATTAAGTACTTGGGGAATTTCTGTAGCTTGTCTCCATTCTTTAACTATATGTTAGCCACAGACTAGAGTTTACAAAAGTTTATAAGTATACCTGTCGAGTCATACAGCTCCTATAATCAGAAAATTTTATAATAAAGCAAACTGAATCATGCTGAAACTAGTAGAAGAGATTGATGTCTAAAGACTGAATCTTGGGTACACATTTTTGCTAAATTAAGGACATTTAATCATTTTCTAATTAGTCATTTACAGATCTGGATTCCTATATTATACCCTTATATAGATGTTAATATATACAGTATACAGTGTTAAGATTAACCTAAATGCTAACACTCACTCAATTCCTGGATTTAACACTATGGAGTCCATTTGTAAAAGGATGCTCTGACAATAGATACCCAGAATGTCAGAAAAACAGAAATAATTGTTACCAAGCAGTTACTGCTATATAACTGTGTGTCTGCCTAATAAAAAAGGCAGGCAGAGCATATCCAGGCACATGACATAGTTATTTATTTATTTATTATTTTGGTATCATTAATATACAATTACATGAGCAACACTGTGGTTACTAGATTACCCCCATTATCAAGTCCCCACCACATACCCAATTACGGTCGCTGTCCATCAGCGTAGTAAGGTGCTATAGAGTCACTACTCATCTTCTCTGTGCCCCCATGACATAGTTTAATTAGCAAGCAAGGCATCAGGGGTTACAGGAGCCAATGAAAACAGCCTTCTCAATTTTAAACATGATATTAAACCACCAAAGCTTTGCCCTCTAGAAGAATTGTGCAAATTCAGGTACTGTATATTATCTATAGGTCCTTCTGCAGTGACTCTTCTGCTTTACCCAAGCTGGTGTGGGTGAATGAATGTCCTGCTTACCTAACTTTTCTGTATATATGATTTTACATTTTAATTTAAACACAATTTGTGAGTTCTCATGCATAGCTACTCTTAGTAAATAAAACTGTGGGTTTTTTTCAAACAATAAATATATTCAGTTCTCTCAGAGTAAGATTAGAAAAACCTGGAACCTATTGGGTTTGTGAGAACAGCCCATTTCTAATTAAACACTTGAGTTAACTTACTTCTAATGATGAGCATATATTGAGAGACTGGAATCTCCCCAGTGGCCTTATTAGAAATATCTTTTCATTGTGTAATCATCATGAAGGATGCCATTCCTAGGCCAGCTGTTCTCAGTTTTCCTGACCTATATGGAACATGTTAGATCCGGCTGCTGGAATATTTAGTCTAGGGGAATAAAGTAGTTGTATTCTCTTCTTGCCCATTTTCCAAAAATGACAGTGTTCATCAAATATGTGTACTTGTTGGTGGCACTGGAAGAGCCTCGTAATAGGTACAAATGATAACTTTCAAATTAATTACATGGGCCAATGGAGAAAAGTGTATACAATACACAGAACAGTGGGTTAATATCTAGAATGTAGACATATTTTCAGATATTTCTACATCTTTCCTTTCCTAAGTATTAGACCTCACCTTCTTGCCAGAGTAGCCCTTCACTACAGAAAACATCAAGGGAGAAACCATCACAAATCATCTTGCAGTGCATTCTTCATTTTATCTTAGTGAATACTTTGTTTTTGTTTTCTTTCCCAGGCTTAGAGTTTTAGGTGGTAAATCTGAGTCACAACAGTTAGGACTACAACAAAACTAATTTTTGAGAACCTTGGGCAGTTAAGAGGAGTTGGAGGCCATAGGCATACTTAACATTTAATGTTATTTTGGTTTCTTTTGTTTTCTACAGTGTCATGCCAGATTAGCAGTAGCATGTCTGGACCAAATCCTTCCACCCAAACAGTGTCAAAGGGATTGATTTTTTTTTAAGCAATTTACCTTGTACTTCTAGAAATGGTTTCAAGAAGTATAAAAATAAATACAAAGATATTCAAATGTTTAGACATTTATGTTTGTGGTAAAATAGTCAAATTTTTATGTAAGAGTGAGGTGTACAATGGTGAACCAAATTTAAGTAATATGATCATTCTCTGATGTAATTGTTGCCCCTTCTAAAAAGAAGTTTATGAAGATCTTATTTGGGCAGAATTAGGCAATGACTTAGAATATCATATTTAATATGGATATAGAAAAATTTTGCATAGCCACTGTATAACTCCTAATTTTCGTAGTGGCTTGGCATAATATGGATTATTTTCTGCCACTAACTAGAAAATAAACATTTTAAATAAGTCGAACAGTCATGTCCTAGGTTATGAAAGATATTGACAAGGATATTTTTTGATTTGACTATGATTGTTGATTTAGAAATCAACTTCTTAAACAACAGACTATACAAGGCTATGAGAATTCTGTCTGATACTTCTGCAGTATAATTTGCTACATATTGAAAATTCATTCTTTATAATAAATGTTTTCAGAAGCCTTCTTGTTTTTCTTGTATGCAGTTTCATTTTTTGAACACATTGAAGAATCGAGGCCTAACGTAATCCTTATACATAGAACAGAGAACACCTAGGAACAAAGAGATGTATATCAATAGAGTATCCATAGGAAACAAACACTGAATTTCTTCCACTTACATTTTCAAAAACTACAGCCCACAATGTAAAAACAAGCAAACAAACTCCTTCCATCTTACCAGTTTTTGGCTTGAATCATACAAATGGCTCCAGAAAAAAAACAAAACAGTGAGAGCCATTTAAGATCAGTATAAATCTGAATTTATGATATTACCATGACACCCTAAAGTTTGGATTTTTTAAAAAATTGGTGTAAAAGAAAAGTGGGAAGATTTGGCTAATATTAAGATAAAAATAACAGGCACCTCAATTTAGCAAATATCTATTCAGTGCCTACTTGTGCTCAGTATCCAAGGAAAAGGTGAATGGATTTAATCTCTGCTTTTTGGGATTTACAGTCTAGTGGATGAATTAGCTATGAGTTTAGGCAGCTGAGATGAATGTATATCTCCCCCCAGGGATGAGGTCCTACGGCTATGCAGAAAGGAGGAAGTAGCCTGGGGAATAGAGGAGCTCTTTCAGTGAATTCCAGGGGTGTCAGTAAATGTTCATACCCAAAGCTGTTCAAACCCAAAGTGTTCATACCTGTTCATATAAATTATCAAGGCATCAGCTATCTAGTAGATCATTTAAACTAAATCCTTTACTTCATCTGCTTTCTGACTTTCTGCTTCTGCTTTTCTTGTTAATGTCAGAGTGCACAGAGGATAAAGGATCAGCAAGTTATCTCAGCTAATGACAGCAAAGTTAAACAGATGTCTGCATGATTTTCCAGTTAAATAGTACTAAACAGATGCATTCAAGGCAGAATATTTTAAATTTGAATCATTGTGGTATCTATGGAAATAACATTTTCAGATTTAGAATCATAGGACTCACCTCCTGTGCTTAATAGACACACAAAATTCTCACCTCTTGCCTACCTCTTAAATGGTGTTTCCTGGAGTTCTGATCTCAACTGTTTCTCCCCTAATTCACACCTGTTGCTTCACTCATAAGCAAGTTAGATCTCTCTTCTGAGAGATCTAATATATATTCATTATACTATGAATTATAATGTGACATTTCCACATCCTATAGGTAGGTCCTATAGGTAGGTGGTCTCCAAACTTAAATTGTGCATAAGTAAATATGTTGACTGTGCCCCTCAAAATGTACATTTATTTATAAACAAGGTAAATGTATGATGGTCAGTCTATGTACATATTAGAAACCATTTTTTGTTTTTAAGATAATATGTTCTTTCCCAATAGATCTCCTTATATATCTCCTAGGGTATGAGTACTTTAATTTAGAGATGACTGCTATAGGCATCTTAGTATAATTTAAAATTAAGAGTTCAGGCTCTGGAGTAGATTGCCCATGTGACTGTGAACAAGTAACTTCTCTATGCCTCCGTTTCCTTATTTGTAAAATGAGATGATAACAGTACCTATCCTCATAGGGTATTGTTGTTTAATAAAGACTGGGTTTTATCTGGAGTTCCTGGCTAAGAGCTTCTAAAATGCTTGAAATTTCCCAACTAAGAGGAGTGTCTGTTTCTCATGAGCCCCTTGGCTCATACCTGAATTTAAGCTTAAGAGGTAGACCTTGGTGGGCTCCTACCTAGTTTCAGAATGTGGTTAGTCATGTCAGAAAGACCAGCCATGTGATTAGAGGCTTCCTAGACCTTTAGAGAGGAGAGTAGTACTAGAGATTCAGTTTAGTCACATGGCCAATGATCCAATTCATTCATCATACCTACCTATGAAGCCCCAGTAAAAACTCGGGACACTGAAGCTCAGTGAAGTTTCTTGGTAAACACACTAATGTGCTGGGAGGGTGACATGCCCTGATTCCTGTGAGAGGGCACAGAAGCTTTGAGTTGGGGACCCTCCCACGCCTACCCTATGTGTCTACTTGGCTGATCCTGATTTGTATAGTTTATAACAAAACTTGTAAGTATAGCACTTTCCTGAGTTCTGTAAGTAGTTCTAGTGTAATATCAAATGGGAACCCCTGAATTTGTAGCCAGTTGGTTAGAAGTGGGTGACCTGGGAACCCCAAATAGCTAGTGTCTGAAGGGCACTCTGTTCAGGAACCATGTCCTTAAAACTTGTGACATCTGATGTGAGCTCCAGGTGGTCAGCATCAGTGTTGAATTGTATTGCAGTATACCAGGTGGTGTCAAAAACAGTTATTTATTTAAAGAAACAATATATAACGCAGAAACCATTCCACATCATAAGTGCTCATTAAATTAAGTGTCAGCTATTGTTCTATCCTTTGCACTCATTGTTCCAACATACCTGTTCTTTTTTCTTTGTTCTTTATGTTAGTGAAAGGCACACCTCTCACCTGTTTGCCCAAGCCAACCTAGGAATCATCCTTGATTCCTCCTTTACTTTTCCCAATCACATAGTTGCTGAGTTTTCAATATTTCTAGAATATATCTCCTATTTCCACTGTTCCCGCCTTTAGATCCAATTCCTCATCTAATTGGATCCTCGGTCTTAATTTTCTCCCCTCCTTTGCAAATCATCTCTAATCATTTTCTTTTTCCTCTCAACATTTTTTTTTCATGGGGAAATATGATATACATGGAAAATAGTACATAAAATGTAAATGACCAGATTAATAAAGAGCTGTAAAGCAAACACATGTAATTATGGGTCAAGAAATAGAATACTGCAGGCATCCTAGAAGCTTCCCAGGTTTCCCTTTCTGGCACCGAGTTTTATGACATTAGTTTTCTTCCTTGTCTTTATAGTGTGATCATCTGTATCCCTAAGCAAACAGTTTCATATTGCCTGTTTTTGATCCTTTTATAAAGCAGGCATAATTCTAAACTGCCATTCTATGTTACTTTCCTGTTTAAAACCCTCACTGGCTCAGTTAATCTAGTTATTCCTCAGTTTACAGCCATATACATCTATTGTGGATTTGTTTATATCATTTTAGCTAAATTGTAACTATGTTTTCCAGAATTCCCTTCTCTGCATTGTTCTTGGCTCCTAAGAGACATTTTGCTTGAGATTTGAAGGTCCAAGTTGAAGCTGCAGCTGCCATATTCTCCGTGCATTTGGAAGGCTTGGGGCAGGGGAGCAGGGGCTGTTACAGCTTGCATATGGTGGTTTTTATCTGCTCCCACCTCACTGTTTTTGGGGCAGTAGCCCAGCCTGTAAATCCTTCAGCTCTTTCTGAAACGTCTCCTTTAGCTCCTGTGGCTCCTGATAAAGGGTGCCAGCTTCTCCTGTAGGTCACACTGTGATCAAAGCTGGAATCAGTAAGAGACTAACTTGTCTCCACCTACTTGTCTTTGTAGGTTTCCTGCCCATCCTTGCAGGTTCCAGGTTATTTTTCCTCCGCAGCTGCTGCCTTGCTAATTTCAAGCCTCAGCATTGGAAACATAAGGAAGAGCCCAACGTGGACTGTTAAACAGCTCCCAAAATTGCTTACGGTCATATCTCTGTAATAAATCCCTTTTTGCATATCACTACTAGTAGTTTTGCTTCTCTGGTTAAACCCTGACTGATATAAATTGCTTACGGTCATATCTCTGTAATAAATCCCTTTTTGCATATCACTACTAGTAGTTTTGCTTCTCTGGTTAAACCCTGACTGATACAGAATTTGGTACTGGAAACTTCTGGAGGAACATAACCGTGTGGTTCTCTGAATTGGTTCTGGGTTATCTGGAATTGATTCCCTGGTCTGATTAAAGATATTAATGGACATTTTTTTCAGAGGCAAAGATGATGCTCACAGTCTATGGCTTAAAACTATCGCCTGTAGATATTCTTAGTATTCTTAAGTCAGATGCCTATACTAAAAAGCAAGGCTTTTGGTGATCAGGTGTTTACTGACATAGAACATTTACTGGAGATAAGGAGTGCAGTAAGGTTTGTTACTTCTAAGTGTGCTGGAGAACTTGGGCAAACAAAATGATGGGCTCAGGGCTTTTAATTCCTAGCTCAAGGTCCTGTGAGGGAACTGAAAGCTTTATGATTTTCCAAAAGACACTCTTAACTCCTTAGCCATGAGGCTGATATTTTTAAAAAATATATATGGGAACTAATCCTGTGAGTAGCTAATCACGATCCCAAATTCCCAACCTCACAAAGTTCCTTGTCTTAAAGTTAGGGCATTGCTTTGGAAGTAGTGGACCCTGAAAACTGGGATGGGAACATATGGGCAGATTTCAGTTAAACTGGCTCCTTGGCCCTCAATATTTTACTGAGACTCCTTTGCCAGTAGAAACAGTCCTTCCATCACTGTCTGAGAATGACTAAAACTTGGACCAAAGGTAATCTCCACTAAATGAAGTTGAAGTTGCAGAACCTCCTCAGTGTATTCTGTGACAGAGCAGTGATTCTTCTTTACTGGGGCAGTTTTGTTTCTGAGGGAAATCTGACAGTATCTGGAGACATTTTTAGTTATGGTGGGAGTGGGTGGGTACTATTGGCATCTCATGGGTAGACACCAGGGATGCTGAACATCCTCTAATGCACAGAACATCCCACAACAAATAATGCCTTTTGGGGGATTCCTTAGTACCCCCATGTCCTGTGATTAAACACAGTGGAAAACTACACTTAGTACAGGCAGGCTGACTAATGACCCAGACCATCTTGGATTGAAGGCTTGGGTTACCTCACCAGGCAAATAACCAAGGTGCTTGCTAAAGGCAACTGGAATAGGAAATGGCTGATAGAAGAGCATAGTTATAATACCAGTCATGACCATTTGACCAGTTGCAGAAAGACAGACTGATAGTTCTGTGTATTTCTTCCTTATTTTGATATGAATACACTTGTGTAGACATTAACCAATTTCTTTTATATTTGCCACTTTCATTTACCTATGATCTAAAATAAGAAGTGTTAATAGTAGTTAACTGTATTCCTCCAAATTTAAGTCACAGGATGCCAAAGGAGAAAGTGACTCAGCTCAAAGATAAATCAACATAACCCAAGGATGGATAAAGGGGTTTTATATCCTCTTTTAGAAAATCATTAGCATGTTTCTGGTTATGCAAGGGGTAGTTGATTTTGCCATTATCTCTACTTTAAAGTTAAGTGTATTAAAAGAGGTGTATATGGATGCCAAGTTGACAAAGGGTGGACAGTGATGGATTTGTGTCAACTTAGCTAAAGTGTAATTACATTTTCCATAGTACTTTTCCTTCTATTCCAAATTATTGAAGACAGAAGTGAAGCAACAGCCAAATTCTCTTTATGCCTGGAGCATTTTTGTACTCATCTGCTGACCCACCTTGTCAGCATGGGAAGCAGTCAGGAGTACAACTACTGTGGGTCCTACTGAATTTCCTCCTTCCCCTTCGCTGACTTCTTGGCCAGGGCCATGTTTAGCTCCAGGATGAAGGGTATCTGCTTTTTCTATGTCACTGCCATCATTGAATTTGGAGTCTTAGAGATGGTAAGAAATCCACAAGGGTTCCAGTCCATCCTGTGTTCTAGTTCATCCTTGCAGGTTCTAGGTTTTTCTTGCTTCTACCACTTTACATCTGTCTTCTTTCTAATTGCATGCCCTGCCTTCTTTGGGCCCCATCTCCTGATATATAAACAAAAGCCTCACAATTATGTGAGTCCCAATGCCTATAGTAAACCTTTTATTTTCTGTTAGTACTAGTAGTTCTGCTTCTTTCATCAAACACTGATTGATGCACTTCCCACACCAAGCTATGTAGAGTTCCACTAACACTCCATTTATCTCCGCCTGTTTTTTCCTATGTCTAGAGTCCTGCTTCTCTGCCTAGTGAAATCCTCCACATTCTTGGCTCACCACATGGTTTCATCCCTAGAGAAGCCTCATCTGGACCCTCAGCCCTGTTGTTCACAGCCTCTATTTGGGCCTGTGCTTCCATACCAACCTGGGCTACCTCTGTCATAGTACCTGAGGTTTTATATTGTCTTCTTCTGTTCTTGGTCTCTCTCCCTAAGAACACTAAAGTATTTGAGGGCAGGGGCTGAGTCTTATCTCTGCTCTAGATCAGCACAGTGCCTTGCACATAGCAAGTGCTCAATAAATGTTTGCTGAATGATTTTAAAATGAGCACAGTAACTTTGTAGTAAAGTTTTGCGTTGTATTTTGTTCAAGACTCATGTACCACAACCCATAGTAATGTGATAATTACCATATAACTTCCTGTATGCCAGCCCCTCACCCATCATTCCATAATCATAGACCTATTCTTAGGCTGATTCCACTCTACACAGCATGAAGTGGGCTAAGAACATTGTGACTTGTTCTCATTGATATAGGCCCCACAAAAACTGGATGGTTTAGGTTCCAAAGTCAGCTTGTTAGAACTATCTGATTAAGCTGTTGATATAACCTGATTTAACTGATAATTTGACACCTCTTCTTTGGATTTGATTATGTAAATATTGCCTAATTTATAGACTGAAAAAAGTTTTACCTATTGCTTGAACTTGTAATAAAAGGAAAATAAGGATATTGAGACTTGTGGGCTCTAAAAATGTTTTCTTCCCAGTTAAATTACTTTAATAATTATATCTATTGTTCAGATAGCCTAGGAACTATGACTTGTGCTCCTACCTGATAAAGGCTGGAATCTGTACCCACTGCTTTTAGCTGAGTTACATGGGGTATGAACTATTCCCTACTCCTCTCACTATAGAGGATAATAGAACCCATAACCTAGTTGGTTCTTTTTTAAATGAGGTATAATTGAGATACAACGTTATATTCATTTCAGGTATACAACATAATGATTTAGTATTTGTACATATTGTGGGATGATAACCACAATAAGTCTAGTTTACATCAACCATCATACATAATTACAGAATTTTTTTTTCTTGTGATAAGAGCTTTTTAAATCTACTTTCTTAGCGACTTTAAAATATGCAATTCTATATACAGAATTATTAACTAGTCACCATGCTGTTATTGTATCCTCGGACTTATTTATTTTTTAACTGGAAGTTTGTACCTTTTGTTTACTGTTGAAAATACTAAGAAATTAAGCGTATATAGCAGCAGACTCAACCAAGTGAAGATCACTGTCTTTCTTAGCATTCCTCCTCCATTATATCATCTTAATGCAATATTCATCTTCTAATATGAATGAATAAAATAAATAACAGTACTCTCAAAGCTGAACACAAGATACAAATCAAGCAGGTTACCTAGAGTCACAGCTCCTACAACAAATCCTTGGGCAGCAACTCTTATGTGGATAAGATGAATTCTTATCTTTTTTGTACTTTAACTTGTAAAGCCCATAGGCTACCACAGTCATAAAGCCTGCTATCCCTGTCAATTAAAAGAGCAGGGGTTATATAAGTAATAGGCGAGAATTCCAAGAGCTGAGAGAACTGAATAAAAGACTGTTCAAAGGATCAGTACTTGGAAGATAAGTACTGAAAGATACTGAAGAATACTTTAAAGAGAACTGTGCTGGCTTTGATCCACCAAATTTAAAAATGAACCCTTCACATTCATGGATTCAATATTTTCAGTTTTGGCTCTTCCCAGGAAAACCTGAACCCTATAGTGTAGTAACTTGTCTAGCGAATGCTAATTTATTTGAGGCGTGATTTCGAATTGGGCATGCTGCCAGGCTTTTATCTAGAGTAAGTCATTAACCAGTGAGCAAACCAACCAAACAACTGAGCAGCCATAGCTTTTGAGTGTTTGTTTGGCTTTACTCCTCTCTACTTGTTGTGAAATAAGGACCAATCTGGTAAAGTGATAAAACTTCAATCAACTGTAAAAATGAGACATTAAACTTTAATGAGGGATGAAAAGGTAGGAATATTTTGCACAAGAAATATGTGACACTGGGGAGAACTGTGATTTTAGAAAACTCCAGAAGGCCACATACATATTTCTGTATTTCCTGTAAATGTCAGGGGGTGAATGTACTGCTGTGATGATCAAGAGCCTATGTAATTGTCTCTAAAACAAAGCTGATCAAATTTAATAGGAAAGATTCTGGGAAGAGATTTAAAACACAGAGAACTTAATCCATTACAAATCAAAATAATCAAAATAACAGATAAAGGAGTAATTATTTAATAAATACTATTAGTATAATTTACTGGTATACAGAACTAACTTGGATTTGTATCTCACACCAGATCTGATAAAAAGAATTATAGACAAGTGAGAATATATGTAAAACAGAGCAAGAATAACAAAAATGAGAATATAGAATAGCATGTTTATAATATCTAACAAGAGGGTAAGGTAGTCTTTAAGAGAACATGACAAGGACAGAATGGTATGTTTGACATAAGAATAAAGAAAACTTTTGCATAATAAAAGTGTGGGTCTATTTTTTGGCTTCTCTCTTCTAGCCTATTGATCTGTGCTTCTAACCCTCTATCAATACTGCAGTGTCTTAATTACTGTAGCTATGTATATATATTATGATTTACTATCAGGTGGATGATTCTTCCCACTTTATCCTTTAAAAAAAAGATTGTTTTAGTCATGCTAAGACTTGTGCTTTTCCATATACATTTCAGAATAAGCTTGTCTATGTCTACAAAAAACCTTGCTGGGATTTTGGGAGGAATTACACTAAATCTATAGACCAATTTGGGGAGAACTGACATCTTTACTATATATTGAGTCTTCTAATCCATGAACACAGTAGTGTCTACATTTACTTAGGCCTTTGAGTTCTTCAATTAGCACTTTGCAATTTTTGGCATACAGATTCTGTACACGTTAAGCATATACCTAAGCATTTCATTTTCTTTGGAGTGATTGTAAGTGGTACTGTGTTTTTAATTTCAGTGTCTATATGTTTGTTAGCATATAGAAGTGCAATTGATATTTATATAGGATGGTAAGTTTTGATTAACTCTGTTGACACATGTGTGTCTCTGGGTGGGTGATGATATATTCTCACAAGATCCATTTAATAAATGGAAATAAGAATCAGTAAATATTCACATTTATATGTATGTCTTATGAGCTGATTAGCAATAAATGAAATTGAAATAAAAACAACAAACATAAAAACAGCAAAAAACAAGTAACAATAAAGTGATGATAGGCACATTGAGAAATATGTATAATGCTGAAAGCTCTTGAAGTTTAGCCAAATCATTCTGGAAAGAGCTCTGGCCATATATTAGTGGTATAAAACTGAACATGCTTCCTGCCCTGGAAATTTATGCTCCAGAAACAAGCAAAACAAAAGTCGAGTTCACACAAAAATGTTTATGGCTACACTATGTATGTGGAAAAATTTAACAATCTAAATGGTCCAAACAGAGGAGAAATTGCCATAGTTATTTAAAAACAAAATTTGGGGATCACAAGTTGTATGTGGATTTTCAACTGCATGGGGGATTGACTCCCTAGATCCTGTGTAGTTGCGGGATCATCTGTATGTATAAAATACAGAACAGACCTTAACAGTAACCATACGGTAATTTTAAAGAAGATAAATAGGTTATAATGATGTGAGTCATTTAAGATGACAAAAATGTTTTGTAATTTATCTGCATAGGATACTGCATCCTGCAGCAGGAAATATAGTATTCTTAAAATAATAGCTACACATAGTATTCAATAACATATATACAAATTTTATTGTTTATTTTTCTAATAGAAACTTGGCTCTCTTCCCCTTTCAAATCAAGGCTCTTTTATTACTTAAATTGGTTTTGTTTCTTTTTGAGATTGAAGTCTGAACCTTTGCTGTTTTCCATATAGTGTCTTTGTAGTTTGTATATAATTGAATTAATTCAATTAGCTGGAAACACTTTTTATCTTTCTCCTTTAATCAACCTAAATGTCTCTGGCAAAATAATTTAACTTAAAACAGGCACAGGATTAATCTCTGAGAGTGATCTGTTCAGGTGGCATTGAGTTCTTGAATTGTTTTTCTAGTTAAAAATATTAAGGAAGATGAATAAATCACTATAAAATTATTTGCTTTCAATTTTTGTGGGTGCCTTTATAAGTTTTAATCACATTAGGTAAAACTTCTAACCATCGGAGTAACTAGTTAGTTACTAGAAACTATCAAGTTAAAATTTGATTCTTTTTGATATATCAGTAATGATGCTTACGAAGTTGCAATGACACTTAATGGAAACATATGGCTTATACCTGTTTAGAAGGTTTTATGGAATTAATCACAAACATATGTAAGTCTCATTTAAATAAGTTATTTTAATGGTTTCCAAACATATTTAATGGTTTCCAAATAAACACAAGAGAGAGGCCTGGCTGCAGTACACAGTAATAATGATTAATAATGATTAGGGCAGTTTGACCATCCAAAAGAGAAAAAGAAAGCTTAGATCTTGAAATATAATATTGGATTTTGTTGTTTTTTTCTTTCTTTTTTGAATTTTGTGGGGTTTTTTAATCCACATACATATGGTATTTATTTGAATGTAAACTTAGTAAATTCATGTTAGGAAAGAATAATGAGGCTAAGACTCTAAGTCTAATTATAATACCACTTTCTTAATCTAGTTTACTCAACCATCAACCTTGGCATCTGGAACACATGAGGAAGCCTGCAAACAGGGCCACTGGGTATGAGCACCACAAAGCTCATNATCCCGAGAGAAGCCTCGTCTGGACCCTCAGCCCTGTTGTTCACAGCCTCTATTTGGGCCTGTGCTTCCATACCAACCTGGGCTACCTCTGTAATAGTACCTGAGGTTTTATGTTGTCTTCTTCTGTTCTTGGTCTCTCTCCCTAAGAACACTAAAGTATTTGAGGGCAGGGGCTGAGTCTTATCTCTGTATCTCTAGATCAGCACAGTGCCTTGAACATAGCAAGTGCTCAATAAATGTTTGCTGAATGATTTAAAAATGAGCACAGTAACTTTGTAGTAAAGTTTCATGTTGTATTTTGTTCAAGACTCATGTACCACAACCCATAGTAATGTGATAATTACCATATAACTTCCGGTATGCCAGCCCCTCACCCATCATTCCATAATCATAGACCTATTCTTAGGCTAATTCTATTCTACACAGCAGGAAGCGGGTTAAGAACATTGTGACTTGTTCTTATTGATATAGGCCCCACAAAAACTGGATGGTTTAGGTCCCAAAGTCAACTTGTGAGAACTATCTGATTAATCTGTTGATATAACCTGATTTAACTGATAATTTGACACCTCTTCTTTGGATTTGATTATGTAAGTATTGCCTAATTTATAGACTTAAAAAAAGTTTTGCCTATTCATTGAACTTGGAATAAAAGGAAAATAGGGATATTGAGACTTGTGGGCTCTAAAAATGTTTTCTTCCCAGTTTAAATTACTTTAGTAATTATATCTACTGTTCAGATAGCCTAGGAACTATGACTTGCGCTCTTACATGATAAAGGCTGGGATCTGTACCCACTGCTTTTAGCTGAGTTATATACGGTATGAACTATTCCCTACTCCTTTCACTATAGAGGATAACAGAACCTGTAACCTAGTTTGTTCTTTTTTTTAAATGAAGTATAATTGAGATACAACATTATATTCATTTCAGGTATACAACATAATGATTTAGTATTTGTACATATTGTGGGATAACCACAATAAGTCTAGTTTACATCCACCATCATACATAATTACAGAATTTTTTTTCTTGTGATGAGAACTTTTAAAATCTACTTCCTTAGCAACTTTAAAATATGGAATAATATATACAGTATTATTAACTAGTCACCATGCTGTTGTTATATCCTCAGACTTATTTATTTTTTAACTGGAAGTTTGTACCTTTTGTTTACTGTTTGAAATACTAAGAAATTAAGCCTATATAGCAGCAGACTCAACCAAGTGAAGATCACTGTCTTTCTTAGCATTCCTCCTCCATTATATCATCTTGATACAATATTCATCTTCTAATATGAATGAATAAAATAAATAAAAGTACTCTCAAAGCTGAACACAAGATACAAATCAAGCAGGTTACCTAGAGTCACAGCTCCTACAACAAATCCTTGGGCAGCAACTCTCATGTGGATAAGATGAATTGACATTTTCTTATCTTTTTTGTACTTTAACTTGTAAAGCCCATAGGATACCACAGTCATAAAGCCTGCTATCCCTGTGAATTAAAAGAGTAGGGGTTATACAAGTAATAGGCGAGAATTCCAAGAGCTGAGAGAACTGAATAAAAGACTTTTCAAAGGATCAGTACTTAGAAGATAAGTAGGAAAGATACTGAAGAATACTTTATAAAGAGAACCGTGCTGGCTTTGATCCACCAAATTTAAAAATGGACCCTTCACATTCATGGATTCAATATTTTCAGTTTTGGCTCTTCCCAGGAAAACCTGAACCCTATAGTATAGTAACTTGTCTAGCAAATGCTGATTTATTTGAGGTGTGATTTTGAATTGGGCATGCTGCCAGGCTTTTATCTAGAGTAAGTCATTAACCAGTGAGCAAACCAACCAAACAACCCAGCAGCCATAGCTTTTGAGTGTTTGTTTGGCTTTACTCCTCTCTACTTGTTGTGAAATAAGAAACAAATCTGGTAAAGTGATAAAACTTCAATCATCTGTAAAAATGAGACATTAAACTTTAATGAGAGATGAAAAGGTAGGAATGAATATTTTGCACAAGAAGTATGTGACTCTGGGGAGAACTGTGATTCTAGAAAACTCCAGAAGGCCACATACATATTTCTGTATTCCCTGCAAATGTCAAGGGGTGAATGTACTGCTGTGATGATCAAGATCCTATGTAATTGTCTCTAAAACAAAACGGATCAAATTTAATAAGAAAGATTCTGGGAAGAGATTTAAAACACAGAGAACTTAATCCATTATAAATCAAAATAACCAAAATAACAGATAAAGGAGTAATTATTTAATAAATACTATTAGTATAATTTACTGGTGTAGAGAACTAACTTGGATTTGTATCTCACACCAGACCCGATAAAAAAAAATTATAGACAAGTGAGAATAAATGTAAAACAGAGCAAAAATAACAAAAATGAGAATGTAGAATAGCATATTTGTAACATCTAACAGAGGGTAAGGTAGTCTTTAAGAGAACATGACAAGGACAGAATGCTATGTTTGACATAAGAATATAGAAAACTTTTGCATAATAAAAGTGTGGGTCTGTTTTTGGGTTCTCTCTTCTAGCCTATTGATCTGTGCTTCTAACCCTCCATCAATACTGCAGTGTCTTGATTACTGTAGCAATGTATACATAATAAGATTTACTATCAGGTGGGTGATTTTTCCCACTTTATCTTTTAAAAAAAGAAGATTGTTTAGTCATGCTAAGACTTGTGCTTTCCATATACATTTTAGAATAAGCTTGTCTATGTCTACAAAACACCTTGCTGGGATTTTGGGAGGAATTACACTAAACCTATAGACCAATTTGGGGAGAACTGACATCTTTACTATATATTGAGTCTTGTAATCCATTAACACAGTGGTGTCTACATTTATTTAGGTCTTTGAGTTCTTCAATTAGCACTTTGTAATTTTTGGCATACAGATTCTGTACACGTTAAGCATATACCTAAGCATTTCATTTTCTTTGGAGTGATTGTAAATGGTACCATGTTTTTAATTTCAGTGTCTATATGTTTGCTAGCATATAGAAGTACAATTGATATTTATATAGGATAGTAAGTTTTGATTAACTGTTGGCACATGTGTGTCTCTGGGTGGGTGATGATATATTCTCACAGGATCCATTTAATAAATGGAAATAAGAATCAGTAAATAATCACATTTATATGTATGTCTTATGGGCTGATTAGCAATAAATGAAATTGAAATAAAACAGCAAACATAAAAACAGCAAAAAACAAGTAACAATAAAGTGATGATAGGCACGTTGAGAACTAGGTATAATGCTGAAAGCTCTTAAAGTTTAGCCAAATTGTTCTGGAAAGAGCTCTGGTCATATATTAGTGGTATAAAACTGAACATGCTTCCTGCCCTGGAAATTTATACTCTAGAAACAAGCAAAACAAAAGTCGAGTTCACACAAAAGTGTTTATGGCTACACTATGTATGTGGAAAAACTAAACAATCTAAATAGTCCAGAGGAAAAATTGCCATAGTTACTTAAAAACAAAATTTGGGGATCAAAAGTTATATGTGGATTTTCAACTGCATGGGGGATTGACTCCCTAGATCCTGTGTAGTTCAGGGATCATTTGTATGTATAAAATACAGCACAGACCTTAACAGTGATCATAAGGTAATTTTAAACAAGATAAATAGGTTATAATGATGTAAGTCATTTAAAATGACAAAAATATTTTGTAATTTATGTGCATAGGATATTGCATCCTGCAGCAGGAAATATAGTATTGTTAAAATAACAATAGCTATACAAAGTATTCAATAACATATACACAAATTTTATTGTTATTTTTCTAACAGAAACTTGGCTCTCTTCCCTTATCAAATCAATGCTCTGTTATGACTTAAATTGGTTTTGTTTCTTTTTGAGATTAAAGTCTGAACCTTTCTGTTTTCCATATAGTGTCTTTGTAGTTTGTATATAATTGAATTTATTCAATTAGCTGGAAACACTTTTATCTTTCTCCTTTAATCAACCTAAATGTCTCTGGCAAAATAATTTAACTTACAACAGGCACAGGATTAATCTCTGAGAGTGATCTGTTCAGGTGGCATTGAATTCTTGAATTGTTTTTCTAGTTAAAAATATTAAGACGAATAAATCATTATAAAATTATTTGCTTTAATTTTCTGTGGGTGCCTTTATAAGTTTTAATCACATTAGGTAAAACTTCTAACCATAGGAGTAACTAGTTAGTTATTAGTAACTATTAAGTAAATTTTGATTCTTTTTGATATATCGATAATGATGCTTACGAAGTTGCAGTGACACTTAATGGAAACATATGACTTATACCTGTTTAGAAGGTTTTATGGAATTAATTGCAAACATATGTAAGTCTCATTTAAATAAATTATTTTAATAGTTTCCAGACAAAATAAACACAAGAAAGAGGCCTGGCTGCAGTACACAGTAATAATGATTAATAATGATTAGGGCAGCTTGACCATCCAAAAGAGAACAAGAAAGCTTAGATCTTGAAATATAATATTGGATTTTGTTGTTTTTTTCTTTCCTTTTTGGATTTTGTGGGTTTTTTTTTAATCCACACATACATATGGTATTTATTTGAATGTAAACTTAGTAAATACATGTTAGGTAAGAATGAGGCTAAGACTCTAAGTCTAATTATAATACCACTTTCTTAATCTAGTTTACTTAACCATCAACCTTGACATCTGGAACACATGAGGAAGCCTGCAAACAGGGCCACTGGGTATGAGCACCACAAAGCTCATGCTCTCAATGGCAGGTAGGTAGGCCTAGGCCTTCACTCAGAGCTTCTTTACCCTGAGTTGATTCACAGTGCTTTTAAGCTTGTGTGTCTAGCTTTTGTTACCACAGGACTCTAGAAGCAGAAGTTTTTGATGGTACCCAACAGTAATGGAAGAAACAGAAAAATCTAACATCAGACACAAGAAGTTAAAGGTTGGAGTTGCTTTGAGGCTAAGACTCTAAGTCTAATTATAATACCACTTTCTTAATCTAGTTTACTCAACCATCAACCTTGGCATCTGGAACACATGAGGAAGCCTGCAAACAGGGCCACTGGGTATGAGCACCACAAAGCTCATGCTCTCAATGGCAGGTAGGTAGGCCTAGGCCTTCACTCAGAGCTTCTTTACCCTGAGTTGATTCACAGTGCTTTTAAGCTTGTGTGTCTAGCTTTTGTTACCACAGAACTCTAGAAGCAGAAGTTTTTGATGGTACCCAACAGTAATGGAAGAAACAGAAAAATCTAACATCAGACACAAGAAATTAAAGGTTGGAGTTGCTTAAAGGACAAAGAGACATACACATCTCAATAGTCCCCAATAGACTTTCAGTATAATAAACTGATGGTGCTGAGTCATCACAGGGAAGTTGAAGTCCAGACCACTGCATTTAGATTGGCTGGGAACTAATAATTTTTGATAGGCCTTTAATGAAAATGGATTAAGTAGAATAAAATTTGATGCTTCATAATAATAATAGCTACCATTTATTGGCAATTTACCACATACTAGAAACTATTCTGAAAGTTTAACTAATGCTTAGAGGGGGTTAACTTCAATTATCTGAAAATATGCAATTATATAAAACATTTCAGTCCATTCACACTGGATATGGGCATTGTGTTACTACAGTTTTGCAGTATCCAGTCAAGGCTTGTACTTACCCACAGGGACAAAGGGGGAGTTCCTAGATTTCCTGATGAGTCAGGATAATTGGCCTTCATCCTCATTTGCTGACCACTGGTTATCTGAAGACATTTTTCTCTCTACTCTGAGTAGGAGATAAATGTGGTTGCTGTAAATCATTAAAAATAATCTGTTTACCATCTCCCAGTATACTCCTGATTATGTCTTCTGTCTTCATTTGCTTGACATGCCTGCCTGCTCAGCTGAAATTAACAGTCATCTTTCCTTCACCCTTTTCATTATGGAAGCCTTTCATTTTGTTTGGAGGGATGTAAAAGAAAAATATATAAAGAGAGGTAATGATATCCATGAATACAGAGTAAAAACACAGATCATAATTATATTATTCAGTTTCCTTTCACTGCTCAGCATTTGAGATCTTTGTGAACCTCAGAACTCCATCCACAAGCAGTTAAGAACACATTTTCTTCTACACAATTTAATTTTAAAGAATGATGGAAGTGCCAACACAGACAAAAATACTTTCAGATTTACAGGTAATGGGAGAACAATCACTTCAATTCTGCAGAATGTGCAGGGTATTATAAAGGCATTGAGATTTACCAAGCACCTGCCATGGACCAGGTGCTGTATTAGAGAATGGGAATAATCCTCCTTGTTTACACAGGATGAATGAAGAAACTGGCAAGAGCAACTGTAATCACAATCGATGCATTTTAGCAGCACCTCAGTCTGTTATCTGTGCAACCCACTATTTGCACCTCAAAATTCAAATATGATGGTTTCATCCTATGAATCAACTTTGATCAGAAAACATAACCCGGTAAGTGGCAGAAGCACAGTACCTTTGGTGTATCCCATTAGCTGTTAGTCTGTCTCCTGGTGTCCCTTGAGCAGGAAGCTGTAGATCAGAACAGGCTCTGTAAGGTCAGGACACATCTACATGTAATTTCCAACTAATTGATAATGGGAAAGCCCAGAAACACACACCCTAGGGGGAGTGGCCAGCTCGTATTGGCCAAGGTTTCCACAGCCTTGCTGGAAACTCACTGGCAGCACCTGGACCACATACATCTTGCTTTCAGAGACAACATTAAAGCACTTGAAGAAGCCTTTACTTAATTCTGCCTTCACAGGGGAGCTCCCAACTCCCCTCTGTGGCTGGGAATCCTGCTATCCGACTCCAGGGCCCCAGATTGAGAGGGAAGGGCTCAGTTACACACTGGATTTGTGAGTGATGGTTGGCTATCTGAGGCCAAGATTCTTGACTTGTAGGAATATGTGCTTGCCAAGGGCCAACAACTGCAGTACGGATCTTGGGCTGAGCTACTGCGAGCCTGGTCAAGTGAGGAGCCTGCCGGGGGTCACAGGGCCATGAGGCCTTGGCACCTGCAGCTCATACAGATCCTTGAACAGCACGTGCTCCCTGCAAGGAAGTCGTGAAGTAACTGCGCCCTGGGCCAATCTGAGGACAGGAAGGGCTCGTGCTGAGCGAGCCGCTGCCAGACGCCTGCGTGCACCTTGACGCTACTGTGGGTCCCGGGGCAGGTGGGAAGCGGACGCAGCTTTAGCTTCTGTTGTACGAAGCAGCCTTGGGCCCCTTGAGAAGTCCCGGCTCACTGCCTCCTTCCACCTGCAGCCACAAAGGCCGGAGCATGAGGGCAGAGGACCAGGTAGTGTTCGCGTTTTTTTCTTAATAGCTTTTAATTTTTAAATAATTTAGGATTTACAGAAAAGTTCCCAAAATAACACAAAGAACTATATGTCTGACACCTGGATTCCCCTTTGTTAACGTTTAGCCTCATTTGTTTAACTTTCTCTCTAGAAAGGATTCTTTTCCTCCTCCATGTGAACCATCTCAGAGAAAGTTACATACTAATGTGACTTTACTCCTGTATATTTTTGTATGCATTTGGGGCACTCTATTACATAACCATAGTACAGTGATTAAAATCAGGAAATTAACATGCCTATATTACCATAATCTAAATATTTTATTCATCTTTCACCAGTCTTCCCTATAATGTCCTTAATAGCAAAGAAAATAACACCTTTTTTTCTGGTCTAGGATCCAATCAGGGTTACATATTACATTTGGTTCACAAATCTCTTTAATCGTCTTTAATTTCAAACATTTCCTTAGGGGTTGCATTAGTTAAGGTTATCAAGAGAAATTGAGCCTAAAGATATATGAACATATAAGCATATCTAATCAGACATATGTATACACCCATGACATATGTATAAGATTTATTATAGGAATTGGCTCACACTATTATGGGGGCCAAGAAGTCCTGTGATCTGCAAGCTGGCAATGGTGTAAATTTCTGTCCCAAAGTCCTGACAATCAGGGTAGTTGAAGTCTGTGGGCAGGAGAAAATGAATATCCCAGCTCAGGCAGAGAGCAAATTTACCTTTCCTCTACGTTTTTGTTCTGTTTAGGCCCTCAATAGATTGTATGATGCTCACCTGTATTAGTGAGGGTGCTCTTTATTTAGTCTGCCAATTCAAATGCTAATCTCTTTCAGAAACACCTGTACAGACACACCCAGAAATAATGTTTCACNATTTCTGTCCCAAAGTCCTGACAATCAGGGTAGTTGAAGTCTGTGGGCAGGAGAAAATGAATATCCCAGCTCAGGCAGAGAGCAAATTTACCTTTCCTCTACGTTTTTGTTCTGTTTAGGCCCTCAATAGATTGTATGATGCTCACCTGTATTAGTGAGGGTGCTCTTTATTTAGTCTGCCAATTCAAATGCTAATCTCTTTCAGAAACACCTGTACAGACACACCCAGAAATAATGTTTCACTAGCTATCTGGGCATCCGTTAGCCCAGCTGACATGTAAAATAAACTATCACAATCATCTTCTGTCTTTCATGACTCTGATGTTTGCTAATGCAATGCCAGTTACTTGTAGGATGTCTCTCAATTTAGTGTTTTTCTGATGCATTCTCAACATTAGATTGAGGTTATGCATTTTGGGCAGGATACCATAAAAGTGATGTTGTGTTCTTCTTGGCGTGTAGTATCAGTAGGCATGTTACGTCAACTGGTTTGGTGGTAGTAACTTTGATCCAATATTATGCTAATAAATGTCTAACAATTAGTTCTCCTGGGGCAAAAAAAAATTCTGATTTATAAAATTTGCTGATTTCCATGGTGTGAGTACTTCCACCCTGGTAGGTTTCAAGCTGAACATAAAACTGGGAAGAGATGTGCCTTGTCTGAGTTGGTGTGAGTTGGCTTTCGCACCCTGCTGCTGCTTTGATCCCTTGGATTAGGTGGTGTCTGCTAATTTCTCCACTGTAAAGTTACTGTTTTTTCCTTTTATAATTAATAAGCATATTATGAGGAGATACTATAATATTATACAAATAAGCTGTTATTTATCAGACTGTAATCCATCCATTGATGATCCTTGCCTGAATCAATATTATGTTTGCCAGATGGTAGTTTTCTAAATCCGCCATTCCTTTTATATTTTTCAGTTGGCACTGTACTAGAAGGAGTTGTTTTCCCTTCTTCCCTATTTAATTATTCACTTATTTATATTATTTTGCACTCATGAATTTCTATTCAGTGGTTTATAATCCATTACTATAATTATTTATTTTGATGGTCAGATAGTCCCAGATTGAATTGGTGGGAGCCCCCTTCAAGCTGGTTCCAGTGTCCTCTTGACCCCATCGTGCTTCAAACACTCCTTTATGTCCTGGCAAAACAAGTTGTTCAGGTTGAACTTGTACTTTTTCTCCTCCAGCCATGAAATCAGCCATTTCTCCAAGGAGTTCTGATTCATTTTGGTGGAGAGCAGTTTTTAGAAACCAAGTTCTGGGCACTAGAGATGCTCATTGTTACTGGAGTGTTTTTTACTTCTAGGCCCTCTGGGCAGACAGTTAGGATTTATATTCTAAGTCTATATCTATTTATATTCTAAGTCTATATCTATTTCTATTAAGACTGTAAATTCACAATAGTACCTCCAATTTCAACTCAGTTCTACTCTTACCCTTTTCATAGTTGTGATTCCTTTGTGAGAGACTTAGCTCCCACTATCCTCAGGATATTTATTTATTTACTTAATTCTAGAATACACAAAAGTAGTTTCAGAATTTCTAGCCATACCTCTGTGAAAAATAAATATTAAATATTTTTAATATTAAATATCTTTAAATAATTTTTTTTGTCAGAAAGAATACAAAATACTGTCTTCAAAAATAGGAAAAGGAGGCATGGATAGGGGAGTGATGGTGGGTTGATTCACTCCGTCGCGGAGCCTGGTTGGAGAAGGGAGTCAGAGTCTTTGGTAACCAGAGACAGACCAAGGCGGGGTGGAGGCCATGGAGGTGGGAGAACCGGTTTTGTGGAAGAGGAAAAGGCTAGGAGGCTGTGTTTGTGTTTCAAGAATGAGGCTTAATAGTTCAAATTTCATGTGTGGTGCTTTGGAGGTATGACAGTATGCTTGGACAGGTGCGTGGCATATCTGGTTTCCTCCAGAAATGGTGTTTATATGTAGGAGCATTTTTTCTAGGGAGAAGATCTATTCCTTTCATCAGATTCTGGAGTCACTTAGGACCCCCATAAAACTTAAGAAGTAGGAACGGATTGGGTGGTAGCATTTTCATCTAATTCTCACATTTTCATGAATACCTGTCGTCCAAATGCTGTGTAAGCAGAAGGCAAATGTTCCTTATAGAATTTTACTCAGGATGCCAGAAGTGCTCCTACCCAAATTATGCAAGGAAGAAAATAAAAGCACAATAGTAAAACTTTGGACTGGCCGGTTAACTATTTACTAATAGTGTTCACTTTCTCCATTGTTTCCTTCCACTAAGTTTGGACAGATGGGCAAGGCATTTGGCAAATAATTTGGTATATGGCATCATTCATATTTATAAATAAGTATAAATTTATTTTTATGTTGCAGCTTTTGTTTCTTTTAAGAGAATTTTACAATTTACAGAGTGCCCTTTGCATTGATCTCATTTCATCCTCACAAGAATCCTGGGAGATTAGGTGGTACTATCCTTTATATGAAGTGGATAAAATATTATTAAGATGCAATGATGAGATCTGGATTCAAACATTCTGACTCCAAACTTCATGATTTTTCTACTGGACCACAAAGCTGGGAAAAGTGTTGAAGTGTCAGCTGACAGATGGCCCTAAATGCAGAGCTGAGGATAAATTCAGTCTTATGCTGAGTTGGTTCCTTCATAAGGTCGAGTTGTGGGAATAGCCAGATTAGACTGTTCTGAAAATTATGAGCATGAAAACAGGGGTGGTAAAACATGGAGACCAGTTTGAAGCATTTTCTCCTATGATTGGATCTGATACTGGTGCTGCCTAGGAAGCCACTTCTTTGTACCAATATCAAAAGTTGATATTGTTGTACCAAAAGCTGAGCTTTTATTTTTCCATGCTTTGTGAGTGGGGTGAATTGGATGAAGGAGGGCAAAGAAGGTTAAATCAGTTGCAAAAAGAGTGTTGACTATATCCAGATGTAATATCTGTACCCACCTTAGAGCTACTTTTCTTTCATACCCTTGAATTGTGCAGTAATGCAAGTTCCTACATAAATGGTGTGTCATTCCAGCCATCCTAACTCCATTTATATATGTCATCCAGGCATTAGTTTTCAGACTAAGATGTTGGCCATGGAAGTGCAGTAGAAGGCACCAGTTGAGAGGTAGGTAGAAGAGTCAGGACTTGATGAATTAATCAGTAAATACTTTTTGTGCACCTTCTACGCAGTAAGCACTGTGTTTGCCATGTCAAAGAAAGGAAGAAGAGACTGGTGATGTAAAATTACACCAGTGGCTATTAGTGAGTGCTACGAGATTTCTCAGAGATGAAGCTTCTTGAAACAGCCAGTGAATGCTTTCTAGAAGGGCATCACTTTGGTCCTTGGGAAGTACTCATAGGTATTCAGGAAGTTGCAAAGTGTTGTTTATTTAGGGAAGGACACCGTGAATTCTGGTTTTGATATGCTAAATTCTGAATATCAAAGAGATGGCAAGAGTGTGAGTTTTAGGAATCTTTTGCACACAGGCGATGGTTCATGAACTTAGAGTCTAAGAAAGGCTCAAGGGATTGAACATGGGCCAAATGAGTCTTAGGGGACCATTCACAGTGAAGTGGTCGAAGAAGGAGGAGAAAGAATTACAGGGACTTGGATCCAGAAGACCTTGAGAAGTGTAACAGTGTTGTGGGGAGGTGTGGGCTTCGGAGTCAGATCAACACTGGGAACACCAGTGTGGCCACTCACTGTGTGGCTTTTGGCATGTGACTGAATATCCATTGGTCTGCTTTCTCATTGTCATTTGCAGACACTTCTACCTGCCTTCTAGAGATCTGTATACTATATGAATTGTGTAAAGTAGTGGCTGGTGTAAGGAAGGCATGTAATAAACAAATCTTTATTATTAACTACTGAGTTGATGCCGGGGTTCTTGTTTGTGGAGTCGAAGAATGAACTTTGGAAACACTCAAGGTAGGAAAGCAAGGGAGAGGCTTTTATTTAGAGATAAGGTGAGAGGACAGAGCTGCTGGTGCACACTAGGAGGGGACAAGAGAGTCCATGGTTGAGTGTTGTCTAGGGGTTCATATCTTTAGGTTTAACTGAGTGTTTAGTTATTATTGGTCCCAGCCTGAATGCTGCCTTTTTTGTTTTAACCAATCCCACTGAAAATTGCCTGTATTCCTAATTTGGTATTTCTCTCCTAAAGAATTTGTGGGATTCTGACTTTGCTTAATGTTTAACATGGAGAGTTTTGATAGGAGCTTCTCTGCACATTGTTACATTGACCATAATTATTCTGTTTTGCTTCTCCCGGAGGCCCTCACCCAACTCCGTCTAAACCGGCAGTTGCTGGCTCAGAGTCATGGAATATAAGGATCTCTGCAGGATAAGGGTGTCATCACTGCCAGACACGTTTTAAAGATTGAGAAGGCTGAGCCTGAGTGCATGTGACAGATGTTTACTTTTGGAATGGTAAGTTTTGAAGGGTAATTTTCCCTGTTCCCATGTAGTTCTCTATAGGTTCCAAATAGTCTCTTAAAAATAAAATAATACCTTGCTTGATCAGTATATTACCTTTTTTTTTTAAACTAAGGTAGAAAATGGGAACATTGGCTATTCTGTGTTCATTTCATGTGCCTTTAGTATAACATGACCTCTGCCTCAATTCTCTGGCCATTCCCTGGTTTAGAGAATTCTAATTATTCTTAATGTAGCCTGAAGGCTCTTAGTTTTAAATATTGAGATAAGTAAAGTGACATTTACTGAGCAGTTATATTTTTTGCTTTTGTTGATATTAGTCTGCTTGATTCATTATACTCTCAGTTGCCTTAGATTAACAGGAATTGGATTTTTAGTTATGTTGATTCTGTTTCCTAAAGCAATACCAAAGGAAAAGACTTGTGCGAGGGTCAAAAGTACAAAAGGTACTATTATGCAATGTTTGCTTCACTTTCTATTCAAGTATGAAATATGTAGGCATTCAGGAAAAACAATTCGAATATTAGAATTTAGAAACAGAATCTTTTAAAACATAGATATAAGAAATCTTAGTGAGATTTTTTGTTAGCCATTAAAATAAGTGTTGGGCTCATGGGCTCAGGGTCTTAATAAAATTAGGATAAAGTTGATGGTAATAGCCATCGCCAGATCGGCCCCTCAGGCTCTTGGCCAGTGCTCTGCTTGCTTGCTTACGTTCACATACTGTATTTCTTGCTTTTACTTGTCTGTGGCACAAGCTGTTTCATTAGGCTGAAATAATACATTCATTCTCTGGAATTCAGCTCAGATGTCACTTCCTCAAGGAAGCCTCTGGTCCTCCCCCTAGGTGAGACTCTGTTCTCCTGGTGCCCTGCCCCTCACCCTCACAGGTAGCATTTTTCACGTGAGGGCAGGGACCAAGGCTGGCTTATTCAGGACTCTCAGCCAAGCACCAAGAGCAGAGTATGCAGGAGGCACTCAACACATATTTGCTGAATGAAGTCTCACATTTATTAAGTTACCAAGTTCTTCATTTATTGACTCCTCACAGTAACCCTTTAGATAGATATTATCCCCCTTAACAGCTGAGGAAAGTGATTCATTGAGAAGTAACTTGCCCAAGGTCACATGGTGGGTGAATGACACAGCCAGGACTTGACCTAGGTCATGTTGACACCCAAGCCACCGTGGTTCTGCCTCTGTGTTTCCCCACTGTGTGCAGCTATCCCCTGGGAAGCCAGTGTTCAAAGCCCGGTGCTCTGCCATCTACCAAAGGCAGGCAGAAAGGGTGTGATCACAGTGCGGCGGTGTACTTATAATTGTCATTTGTTGTGTGCCTTCCCAGCATCCACCCCTGCGTTCCCCAGTCACAGGCCGTTTTTGTTTGGAGGTCATGCAGCTCTCCTTGTAGCAGTACATGTGGTCAGGGTGTGCTTGGCCCCAGGGATGAAGCACCGTGACCTGTACTTGAGCCAAGCAGCATAATCGTTCCATCGGAACATTGTAATTGGTTCAGGGATTGGCTTGTGACCCAGTATTGCCAATAAGAGCCAGCTGAGATTCAATCCAGAACTTTAGTTGGAGTTTTTGCAAGAGAGGATTTGATCTTTCCAACGGGCTTTGGGCCCTGGAAGCATGAAGATGGGCACAATTGCCGCAGACTCACCACTGGATGCCGAGAACAGAGAGAAAGGCAGATGTGTCCCTAGACACTGTCTGGCTCCTGATAACATTATCCGAGTCCTGCCCAAGCTGTGTGCCCAAGGATTTCTGCCCCTATGCCACTAATTTGAGTCAGTAAAGTCCTTTTCCTGCTTTAGCCTTTTTGGGTTGGGAGTTCTGTCATTTGCAATCGAAGGATGCTAACCAACACAGGACCTTAAATGCATCGGACATATTTTGCCCTTTTTCAGTTTCCATTTTGCATAGTCTTAGATCACTTTCACAGGCTCTTGGAATGAGCATAAACCTGTATTTTCTGGGTGTGGGGGAGAAAGCAGTGAGAAGGTGATGCGGCAGCGATGATTGTCGAGCCAGGTTTGTGGTTTGGGGAATTAGGGCTCCTAAGACTTGCTCAGTAACTTATGCAACGTTAAGAAAGTTCATTTATTTATTTCTCTGCACCTCAGTTTTGTCTATAGGAAGTGAGGATGATATTTCCCACACCACTTAGATGAGACAGAATTGATAGGAATGTGCTTTGTGCTTTGGTATTTATTTCCAGCATGCCCAGACATTTCACCATGTTAAGGCTTTTCATATTTCTCCGTCACTAGACGGACCTACCCAGTAGCAAGGTGGATAGATGGAGGAGGTAGATGGAGGAGGTTCCTGCTTTGGGGAGGCTGTAGAGGGAGGGGATTCATGTTCCATAGCTCAGAAGGCCTTAGATAAAGATCCTAACTCACCATAACAGTTACTACTTTCATGTTCAAGAGAGAATAGTAAGTTTCCTTTTTGCTCTATGGATTTCACAAATGGGGTCTTTGGACTTGAACTTTTCAAAACCCTTTCTGATCCTTCCAAATTGTGTTTTCCAAAATCTACTAGCTGTGTTTAGTTACCTGACTGTAGAAAGAAAAATCTTTGTGTTCAAAAAACTTAATTTTCCACAATGAAGGAAAGCCCTCCCAGGGACAATAAGAAAAATGAAACCAAGATAGCAAAGATATAAAAACCATTTTTGTTCATTCCTAAAATGCATATGACTTTATTGATTTGATGTTTAAAATAGTATCTTTGCAAATTCATCTTAGAAAATATACTAAACTTATTAAAATACTGCAAACTGCTGCTGAAAATATTCTGGAACCCTCTGACTGACCAACCTAAACCTCATTCTCAAAGTACTTGTGGTGATTTTCAGAGTTTCCCATGATTGCAAGGAACAAAGAAATCATCTTGGAACAGGAATGGAAATTTGATCAGAAAAAAACCAAAAAATACTTGTCTACTTTACAGACTCACAGTCTGTCTGGTGTTTAGGGGCTCTTACCTAGCATACCTAATATGCAAGGCTTTCTTAATTACAGTGGACCTTTCTTTGCCTGCAATTTACTACGGTCAGCAAAGTATATGCTAGATAATGAGGGGAATGAACCCAAGAACCTTAACTGCCTCAGATATGTTAGGATATGCTAAAGTGCCAAGTACAATCTTCATCTTAAAAACTGAAGACCAGAATGCAGGAAAACAAACTTTGGTGGAATATGTAATGAAAGACACAACAAAGCTGGGCAGGCCGGGGTGTGGCATTCTCCTATGTTACTTTGAAAGCCAGCCCAGTGATACTAAGACAGCAGATAGATTCAGATTTCTTTTTTGGAAAATCTGTGCTATTTAGATTTGGATTTTTCAGCTAGTTAGTATTCCCTTACTCAGTTCTGAAGTATTAAGGTCTTTTTACGTCTCCATTTTCAAAGTTTTCTTTCAAGTGATTTAACTGCTTGTTAATGCCAAGCTCTCAAAGAGGGGATGAGATTAAAATCTGTGAATAACAATTTAAATAAGATAGTTGGAAAAATTTTGAAGTCACTGAATAAACTAAGGTTTGGGGATAATGGTAGACTTCAATTATGAAAGCCCACTGTTTCCTTTTAAGGGGGAGTTCAAAGCTGTTTTTTTCATTTTGTTTGAGATTCTTTGGGAGACAATAAAAAAGGCTAAATAGAACAACATAAACTTTTAGGGATGAACTAAAAAAAGTCTCCCTTCTCCCAACTACTATTTTAAGTGTAAAACTGAAGCCTTAAAATATTCAACTCATTCAGCTCTCTGCTCCCCACTCACACTATTTCACAGCATATCCACAGATGTGTGGGCGTATCAGCTGCCAGGACAGAGGGGCCTGTAGGTGCCGCAGCTGCAGCTTGGAGAAGCTGGCCTGCTCCAGGGCCTTCCAGCTCTCTCTGGTCAGGTTGCACCCATCAAACAGAAGGTTCCAGGCAGGATCCAGGACCTGCTGCCAGAAGTAATTCCAGGTTGAATACTCAGCTGCTACATGCTCCATGAAATAAAAAGCCCCTCCCTGAGAAAGAAAAAAAAAAACATTTCAAGGATTTTAGCTTTGGAAAAACAAATTTATAAGATGATTAGTGTCAGATATCATTGGCCCCAGAGGCTAACTTTATGAGAAGACATAGATAAACTAAAACTTTACTGAGACACCATTTTAACCCATAGTTTCATCTTCTGTCAAATGTTATACAAAGCTGACATTCTAAAGCAAGTAAATGTATTATCTGATGGTAGAAGTAATACATAGGAATAGCGAATACTTAAAGTAGTTACTGCATGCAGGCTGCTATCCACTAATTCACTGAATACTCACACTAAATATATTTGGTAAGTATTATTATCATTCCTGTTTTTACAGATGAGGAAACTAAACCACATAGAAAATAAACAACTTATCCAATGTCACACAGCCTGAAAAATGTCAGAATCAGGTTTTGAACCTGGGTGGTCTGGCTCCAGAGGCTGGTAGTACTACCCCACCAATATGTTTACTTTAGAAAATTTAGAAAATACAGAAAATTGTAAAAAGAAAAACAATCACAGAACTATACAAGGTCTAAAATGAAAAAGAATTCTTGCCTCACATTCAATCCCATTCCCAGGAGGTAACCACTGTTAATAGTTTCTTGTCTGCCATTTCCATTAACATATATACATACATAGGTATCCTCTTAAGCCCCCCTCATACAAATGGGCTGTTACTCTATGTAATATTCTATTCTTCAATTGCTTTTTAAAATTTAACATTATCTCTTGGAGATATTTTCATATCAAGGTATATAACTTCCTTATTCTTATTAACAGAATTCCTTTATGTAATGTGACAATTTACGTGAACAGCCTCCTTTTGATGGATGTTTACTTATTTCCAATTTGTGCTCTTATAAATGTTGTAATGAATATCCTTGTGTATGGATGAATTTGTGCACATTTATTATAGGATATATTCCTAACCTGGATAAGAGAGTATATGCACTTAAAATTTTGATATTACCAAATTGTCCTCCCAAGAGGGCGCTTCCTCCAGTGGATGTGGAGGTTTTCATTCTTCCAGGCCCACCCTAATACCATGTTTTCCTTAAAAGTCTCTAATAATGTAATAGGTAAAAATGTTATATCGCTTGGTTCTTTAATTGCAAGTAAGGTTGAGCATTTTTATAATAAGCTATTTATTTATATTTCTGTTGCGGCTCTTTGCCCATTTTTCTCATTGATTTAAATAATCCTACTGACTTAATCCTTATTTCTTATTGATTTTAAAAACCTTATTGATATATAGTGTCTTTTAATATGAAGGAAGCTAACCCTTTGTCTATCATCCCTGACAAATACTTTTTCCAAGTTTGTTTTGTATTTTAACTTTCTTATAGCACCTCTTTTTTCTGCAGAAGTTTTACAGTTTTATGTATTCAGATTTATCAATCTTTCCCTTTATAGCTTCTTTCCCACTCTAAGATTTTTAAAAATTCAGCAGTGTCTTCTCTAGTAGTTTCACTTTTTATATTTAAGTGTCTGATCCATCTGAAATTGATAGGACTGCCCTTGGGGATTGTGGTTGGTCCTAAACAGTCCTCCTGACACCCCCTCACTCACCGGCCTCAGCACTCTGCACACCTCCTGGAGGATCTGCTTCTGGTTCTTCACGGAGCACAGGACCAGGGTGCACACCACTACATCCATGGAGCCGTCAGCCACCTGGTGCATGTTCTCCCCAGCAGCCACCACGAAGCGCTCGAACTGCAGGTGTTGGTTCTCAGCAATGCTCTTGATCAAGAACTTCTCAAAGTTGGGATTCGGGTCAATACAGGTCACCCTGCTTCCAGGCGGATAGAACTTGAAGTTGGTCCCGGTGCCACAGCCTACCTCCAGCAGGGAGAGCTCCCCAGAGGGGCCCACAAAGTCCTTCAGGTTACTGAAGAGCTCCCGCTTCTTGCTCGCCATCTGTTCATTGTATATCACAGAGAACTTCATCAAGAAGTAGGGGAACCATTGTTGGCATATCCAGCTCCACAAACCCAGAAAGTTCAGCAGGTACATAGGAGATGCCAGGATGCAAATAGCCAGCCGGAGGATAAAGATGGTAAGCGCCATCACTCAGAAGAGAAAAAAAAAGAACAGTGGTTAGAGTTCTGACTCTAATTGCAGGCGGTAGGTTTCTGGCCACACTCCAAGGTCAGTCAGCCTCAGGGGAAGAACTGGCTGTACAGGAAAGATGCAGCTGAAGTCAAATCGTGGGTGAAGAGGCTCATTTCATCCATTTAATAGACATTTGGCAAAAGCTAACTCATAGCATAATTTTCATGAAGCAAAATGAGAAGGTCCCGAACTTTTCCTTAGAAGGAAATTTAATTGCAATCCCTTATTCCAAGGCGATTCCTGTTTTCCCTTCTGTAGGCTCAGAGACCAGTTGCCAGTTGCCTGCTGGAGTTTTATACACACGGTGCACTCACACCCTCTTGGGATGCTCCAATGACCTTTGAAAGGAAAATCGAATCTGTGGGTGGAGCCTGGTTAAGCCGTACCAGGAGACTGCTGCCGCCAAGTTCCTTTTATTGCAAGGTGCTCTCCTCCCACTTTCCCTCCTCTTGCCCCATTTTTTTAAAAAAGGAGGTGAAAGGGCATGCCTGTTTGGCCACAGTTAACAAGAACTCCCCCTTTTGCATTCTGGGCTGAGGCTCTCAGATTTTCCTAACTCAACAATAAGATTATTTTTCAGTCACTCTTTTGGGCTGTCCATCTTGTAAAGGACAAGTTTCAACTTCA